AGTACTTGACAATTTTCAGTGATTTGAGCAGAAACATAGAGCATTAAAAAGTGTGACTCTTGCTTTGAAAGATAAGGTAGTGAAAGACGCAGAACTTATGGACAGTCGCATGACAACCTGTGTAAGCCTCTTTCTACATGAAATTGCATCTAAATTTGCATTCAAAAAAGTAATAACTACAAGATCCACTATGATTAGACTGAAAAAAGAATCAAGGGAAACAATCATTGCCACAGCATGCACCAAAAAAGGCACTCCGTATAGTGTAATGGCTTCTTCCAATTATTCCATTTATTTCTCATATGGAAGTACATTAAACGGCATTGGATTTACAAGTTCAATACTGTTTTGGGCGAACACAGTCATATGCTAAAGCTTAACCTTCTACATATTTGCAACAAAAAAAATATAGTGATAAAAAGCTTTCTTACTAAAGAATCAATAATCAAGCAAACACAACAACAGTACTTTCTAACAATGCTGGAAACACCAAATGAAACTGTGGTAGCAAAACAAAATGGCAAGCTGATTGCAGTTCAAATTGGAATATAGATGCTGAAGGGGGCTACATATTACTAAAAACTAACCTTGCTCACAATCTTCCCCTGTGGACCAGTTTGTTTTGTTACCAGAATCTGGCCAAGCATTTTTGCTGCAGAGGAGATAACATAAACACTTAAAAGTAGGAGTACATACACAAATAACATGTATAGTATACAACTTAATTGAATGACTACGAAGAAAAGAATTGAATGACTATGAAGAAAAGAGAGCATTGCATGTCACTTAAAAGGCCATTCACTTCAAATCATAAGGCATCGAGGCAGTCAAACTCAGAACCAAAACAACAAATAACCAAATCTTAAGTTGGTGAGAAAGGTAAGGAACTAATTAATCAATTGAAGGAATAAATCACCTATCATATATGGATTTATTCAAATCTGAAGGTAGTATCAAGGATGTCAGACTTCATACAATAAGATTATCTTTACTTGCATATTTCATTATAACACATGTAATTGCCAAAACCAAATAATAGCAATAAATTGCATTGGAGGTTACTGTGTAGACTGTGAAGCTAGACTAGTGTGCATGGAACAGTTATGTATAAACTTCTAAATCAGCTGCCCATTATCATCTGAAGCAACAAACAACTGAAGCACATACTGGGAGAAACTTGTCAAGCTGCTGTTCAATATATTCGTAAGTCTCTGACATTAACTCGTACCTGCGAGGCTTTCAGCTTCCTCTGCCTTAACAATATGAACACCACCCTGCAGTCCACTTTTGAATGTTCCCAATCCACGGCCACCAGCCAGGATTTGACTCTTAACAACTATCTGCAGTTGTGTCATGTTTTGAGTATGGCTGAATTGAACCACAAAATGATTCATGCAATAATACATAGATCTACCCTACAAAGTAGGCTAGGGACAACAATCAGCTAGATTTGATTTTGGAGTAGGCCAGCCTACCATCTACTGACTCATCTTTATAGTTTTACGGAATAACAAACATTTTGAAGCGGAATACCCCAATACTATCTTGTGATAAGCAAAAGGTTTCCCCTTAACCAAGTTAAGGGCTTACAAGCCACATTGACTATAAACCTTGGCAATATTTTCCTAGAAGATATGATTATTTTAAAGAGACCACATGTGGGTGTATAATCTTTGAAAAGGAGAAAAAAAAAGTTTATATGCAGTCCTATGACTAAACAGCATTGAAAAATTACTCAAAACACCAATAATAGTGTCATACCAGAGTAGCTAAGACTAATTACAAGTAATGTTACTTTCCAGGCACCAACAGTGATGTATTTCACCCATTCGTATTATATGAAACTATATCCCGTATACTACAGCAACCACTAACCTCCCCTCTGGAGAAAAACTGGTCAGGCCATCAGCAGAAATTGCAGTAAACTACATTCTCTATATACATCCTAATACCATCAAATAACTGCCACAACCAAGTCTCAAATTGGCCGCACAAGCAATAAAGAATAAGGAACGGAAACATCACCTCTTTCTCACTAGGGAAGACGTTCTTCAAGGTGTTTTTGACCTCCTCCACCGATCCCGCCGCCGCGCCCCTGGGCACGTTGATCCCGTACTTCCCCATCAGCTCCGCGCCCTGCGATACCCACACATCCACGAACCCTAGCGCGTTAGCCCAGGCCCCTAAATCGAAGACTCCAAAAAAAAACCCGCAAAAATCGAACGGAATATGGTGCGGGAATCTGCGGGATCTGGTGGAGGGGGTTGCAAGAGCACCTGGTACTCGTGGATGTTGAGGCGGCGGAGCTGCTGGTGCTGCCATTTCCCGGCGACGGAGAGGGCGCGCGAGGCCAGCTTCCCGAGCGATCCGCGAACCATGGCTGCGGCGGCGTGGGGGGCTCTCTCCTCCGATCCGGAAACCCTACAAGCGTGGAGGGATGGCACGCGTGGTCTTTCGCTGTTCCTCTCTCTCTATATGCGGGTTTGATTTTTCACTCGGTTTTTTCTCTCGTCTTCTTTTCCCTTTTCTTTCTTGCGAGAGGGTGCGGCGGCGGCGTAGGAGAGGAAGAGGGACCAGACGCCGGCGCGTTTGACTGACATGTAGGATCACGACAGTTTCACTGACATGTGGGTCCCAGAACTGTGGGGTCCATATGTCATTGTCAGATGAATGTAGGGCGCGGTTGCTCAGGTATAGAGGCACTTGTGCTTCGAGCCTTTGATACACTTTTCATGGGCCTAAGCGGCCTAACTGGTATCCCTGCTGTATGGGCTGGACAGGTCCAGATAAGCTCTAAGATGAAATGTTGTTGGGCTGGCCTAAATCTGTGATTTACACACATTTAGGCAGTGGCCAGTTTAGCCCACACAGCCCAGTGCAGGAAAGTGGCACTGGGAGGCACATGCAATGCAAGTAATCAAACACGCCCCAATTTGTATTCGGGGAGTTTAAAATTTTGAGAAACAATTAGTTGGTAGCTAACTTCCAAGAATATGGAGAAGGTGGGTTTTCCAACTTCTAGCTCCTAGTTTGTTTTCTAGATTTTACAACTGTAGCTTCTCAGAATTTAAACGAAAAGCTAGATTATTTGAGGGAGCTTCTGATGCTGGGATAAGCTGCACCTACCGGAAACTCCCCCAAATAGGTCCCAAGAGTCCTAGACCACCGCGGCTTTACATGTTGTAAGCACAGGTCGTTGGTATTCTGATACATATCTTATTCGTAGATATGCCAACCCAAAACGATGGAAATCCCATCATTTATCTTAATTTTCATAGCATCACGAACAGCATAAGAGTTTAATATGATCTCACTAGATTGGTAGGACCTTACATAAGATCTCGACCCTACGATTCTACATAAGCATCTTTTAAATTTCATGTGTGTTGAAAATAACGTGAATAAGCCTACTGAGATTTAAAAAAATACTATCTCTGTTTCATATCATATGTCGTTTTGATTTTTTTCAAACTTCTTTAAGTTTAACCAAGTTTCTAGAAAAATATAGCAATATTTTGAACACAAAACAAATGTATTATCAAAATATATTAAATATTGGTTTTGATGAGACTTGGTGTTGTAGACATTGCTGTTTTTTATAAACTTAATCAAACTTAAAGAAGCTTTAATAGAAAAAAATATATCAAAGTAACTTATAATATGAAATGCATTGAGTACCAATTAAATTTATCAAAATTAATACTAGAGACTTCAAATTTTAAAACATGTTACAAAATTTATATAAAAAATATGTACCTTATAAAAATCTGATAGATCCCAAGCCTACAATATTATTTGAAATAGAATGATCCAACCTAATATTCCGATCCTAACAACCTCGCAAACACATTTGGGATGTCCGGATGTAGTCGTCTTGGTATGTTTGCGGTAGCTGATAGCTAAATGATAACTTGGATGTACCGTGTACTCCTTACGCGGTTACGCCCCAAAATAAACCAACTTCTTCTCCTAAAATAAAGCAACTATACTTTCTTAGAAGTACCTACTATTGGTTCATAACTATATAAATTCTATTCCTTCAATACCTCTCACCTATCCATCCAGTAATATAACTTCTCTATTAATTAGAGGCATTTAAGTCTATTGTATTGCTCCTTAAATATATCTTGAAAAGATGGGATTTGAATTTTTTGGACCAAAGGAGTTTTTGAGATTTGTTTCCGTACTTTCATTTACATTGAAAAACACATGGAAGAAAAAACGTGGAAATTTACTCAAGAAACCGTACAACTTTTGTTCCTTTTGCTCAGCAAAGAAACTGCTGTAATTAGGATGAATACACCCAAGCCAGTATACCTGTTTGGCAATTGGAACTCGGCAAATGCATGGTAGTTCAGACTAGCACCAATCAAATTATTCTAGAGTTGGCATGGCCACGATTGCAAGCTATCTTCGCAAGAAAGAAAACGAAAATGTTCGTGTCAAAAGTGAGGTTTAACTTAATTGGTTTTTTATTGTAGAACCTGCGATAGATTTAAGTTCTAAATTTAGTATGAGTGCTCATATTTACGACTAATTATTTTTCAGTGATACAAGGTATACCCATCGACAACGAGTCGCTCATAATAATTTCGTCAATTTCAAAATATACTGGAACAGTTTCTCATAGATGCCCCTAAAGATAAGATGTGTGTATTTATAAAGATGTGTGCGAGCCCCCTTATCTGTACCCTATTTTTTAGAAAAAATGTTAGTGAAAAAAAAAACAAAATGTTTACTCATACCATTTGCCACCTTGGCGGGTAAACGATTGTCCATATGTTTCCCAAGTCCCGCCACGTAGCACGGCCCACAAAAAGGCCCAAATCCGAACCACAATAAACCCAGGTCAATGACCATTATACCCTCGCACCTAAGCCAGAACTACATACCTATCTTTACACGGCTGCCTCACTACATCCCCTCACGATGGCAATACCGAAGTTTCAACCAAATCCGATGGCTAACCCTAGCAAACCCGTGCATAAATACACCACCCAAGCCGCTCCTCCCCGCCCGCCTCTTCATTTCCCCTCCTCCCTCCCCTTTGCCCCGCCCTCTCGTCCGGCCGTTTCGTGGCCGTTTCCGTGGGTCCCATCCACTTGTCCTCCCGTGCAATTTACGAAATTGCCCCTATCATCTTCGGGTGGTCCCCACACTCCACGACTTTCTCTTGCCCCCTCCCTTTTCTCCCTCCCTTTGTTTATTCCCCAATCGCTATCGCCGAGCGATTCCGTCTCGTCTCGTCTCGTCTCGCCGCTGCTCTGCTGGCGTGGCGGCACGGGGGCCGTCGAGATGTCGATCTGCGCGAGGGCGGAGCCGCCACGTGGCGGCGGGACGCTCGGCAAGCGGAAGGAGCGGGACCGCCCGTCGTCGGAGGAGCAGCGGGCGCCGCCACCGCCGCCGCCGCCGCTGTTCCCGGCGATGTCCGCTAGGCCCCAGCCGCCCAGGCCGGCTCACCCCGCTCGGTTCGTCAAGCCCATGCCACCGCCGCCGCCGCCATTCCCCAAGGGTGGCGGCGGGAGCAGCTTCAAGCTCATGGCGGGGTACCTGGCGCACGAGTTCCTCAGGTCCGGCACGCTCCTCGGTGAGCGGCCGGAGTCGAACAGCAAGGCCCCCGCCCCCGCGGCGAGCGCCGGGCCGGCGGCGCCCGATCCCCGCACGCGGTACGCCGAGGCGTCGCTGCTGCTGATGGCCGGCGGAGCCCGCGTCCCCGGCGTCGTCAACCCGACGCAGCTCGGCCACTGGCTCCGGATAAAGGAGTAGAACCGCCGGGGCCGTGAGGCGCACGGTCGCCGTCGCGGCATTGGCGGGGTGGGTCGCTTGCGGTGCCGCATGCACGTCTCCCGAAGCGATCGGAGCGAAAGAAGAGAAGAACGGATGCTTCGGACATGGCAAGTGGTTTTACTTTCACCTCGTCTCTTTTCCTTTTAAATGCTTTTTTTCATGTTAAGAAAAAAAAATCATGTAGGTTTGAACTTGAAACTGAAGGCGCTAGCTTAGCTTCCGGTGTGTTTATCCCCCAACTCTGTGTCTCAAAAGTGTAGCAAATGGTTGACGAATGACCTATCAACGCACGATTTGTTGTGCTTAGTGGATACATATATGTACAGAATTAAACGAGATGTTATTTAGCCCCGTTAATGCCAACCTGCCATGTGTGCTACTGGTATGTGGAACGATGGTTACATCTCGAGTGAAGCTTTTCTCTGTTTCGTGAGTTTGATTTCATTCTTAATATACTTGCTGTACTGTTTCCAGATTTGCAATGTTATAGTTTCGGTCCAGATGATTAAATTTATACGTTTAGTCCATCCAACTTGTTTTAAATAAATCGAAGAATCTAAAATCTGTGGTTGCCGTCCACCGATCCGGTTATTAATCTAGTATTTGCAAAAGGCAACAATGCTTTGTGTTGGAAAATTTTGCCATTTTATTGCACACGGTTGATGAAGTGGTGATTTATTCTTTGTGTATATTCATGGTTAGGAGTTAGGACGACGCCATTGTGCATTCTTTTTTGTTTCAGGGAAACAAAAGTGCAACACCCTATGGTTTCTAGTCTCTCCTCCTTTTTTAAATTAGAAGAGGGGAAGTCTTTGTTCTTGTTCAGCGGGCTATTGTTGGTTTTCGTCAAATTGTTCAATGTCGTAGCAGCCAGATAAGTTTAAATTATGCAGAGTCAATCGAAGGACTTGGGTACTTTGACAGTTTGACCCGCTTTTTTATGAGCTATTTTGGTCTCTGCTGCTGCAGTGTATACGTTTTCAAGGTTTGATCTCAAAATTCCGCGCTTCTTCAAGATGAACTTTGGTTCATACACGGTTTCTTCTGTACAATCTCAAGCTCAATTTGAAACGAGAACCGGAAACATTTTCGCGTGAAACCAGCAGGAGCACCAATAGCTATTCTCATTTCAGCAAGGTGTTGATTCCTTGTGGCGAGACGATTGCAATCGCTGTACCCAAAGTTGGGCGATATCACATTGGGCACCGTCCTTGCGATCTGATCATAATCAACAACCATTCCACATTAGTGACGACCGTTGCGCAGAAGTGGTTGGCCTCACTGCTGTGTCGACAGCGACGGAGATACACGGGAGACGCGTACTACTGGACTAAGAGGTACAACACGCCAGGTGACTGACAGCTGCGGGCAACAACAAAAGATAACCGATTGGGGCAAAGGTAGGGAGGCAGGAATTGGCGCCATCAGAATACAGTGGTTTTGGTGTGATATAAGTGCAACACTAGTGTTTATCCAGATGCATTCCGTAGACACACAAAAAATGAAATAAAATATAAGTGTCACAGGGGCGAAGTGTCCACCTAAATATGCATTACTTTGAATGTGCTTACACACCTAAATATTCAGATGCGCTTACACAGGACGATAGAAACACAAAGAGCCCCTGAAGATAACACAGGGGATCATCATATCCCAAATAGAAGAGAAGAGGTATGTGACATTATTTCACCAACAGAAACACACTGCCAAATGCCAAGCACAAACTAATGCTAGCATCCTAGGTCATATCTTTGCTGATGTTGCACCGAAGAAAAGTGGAAATCAAGGCTGAAGCCATTCACATCAGAGCTACCGGACACGAAGACATCCACTTAACGGACATACATGAAGCACCGAAAATGAAAGTTGCCGGAGGGCCTTGTACCACACAATCATGCTGACTTGATTTCCGACGTTCAACGGTTGTGGTCGTCGAAGGCCACCGGCATCGATGCCCTTTGAGGGAAGGAAGCCAAAGGGGAGAGCACCCACCGAAGATTTTTGCCATGGCCTCCCACATCAAGCCATCAAGTGTTAGGTTTTATTAAGTTGCAAGTAAGTTCAACACTCTCCAATGTTCTTTGGGGAAGGAAGCCCAAAGGAGAGAGAGCCAACGAAAATTGTGGCCAAAGACATCCAAGCAAAAATGATTAAGACGAAGCAGGGAACTAGCAAACATCAACGACGACGACGACAGCAGGGAAGGAAGACCAAGGTGAGTAGCTGGTGAAGCTCAGGCATGCACAAAGAGAAGATGAAGGGAACACGGATGCTGTCCTCACTCCTTAGCAACAATGGAGCCATTGGTGGTCACCATTAGCCATGATACTTGCAACAGAACCTATGACCAAAATCCGTCTAAAATGGGAAGAATCGAAGGGAAATGAGTTATCCGGGTTAGCCCGTGGTGTTAAGGCCTCGTCCAGGTTCGTTGTAAGCTCTAGATACCGAGGGACAGTAGACATTGGCGTTAGATCTAGGTGTGTCTTGAGCTCTCCTTTGCAGGAAGGAAGAATCAATTATTGATGATGAGAAGGGCATCGAAGAGGAAAAGGAAGAAGGCCACCTCAACTAGACAATCAACGGTTACCAATAGATGAAGAAAGTTGCCAAATCTAAGGAAAAGGAGGGAAACCACAGGAAAAGGAAGAAGAATGTGAGGAATGTCATTGAGTCAAGGTGGTGGCACCGGCCGCGGTGGCCGATGATGCAGTGGGGATGTGGGTGCGTCTCCTCCTGGGTCGCTCGAAGAGAGCAACACGAATATCAAGTCTTCAAGTCCCTCTGTATGGAAATGTCCCTAGACAAATTTTACATCATTGGCAGGAAAATTTGGCTAACTTTTGTCAATTTCCTTTGAAAGCTCCAACACATTTGCATCTAGCACCCATGCATTTCAAAATAATACTCCCTTCATTCTATATCATAAGTTGTTTTAAGTTTATTCTAAGTTAAATTTCTTCGAGTTTAACCAATATTACATTAAAAACTAGCAGCATCTCTAACACAAGCTAGAAGTTTGGAAGCACTGCCTAACGCCAACCATTGTCGTGCCCCTGCATCCATGCCAAACAGCGCAAGCTAGCCATGCGCCTCATAGCAAGTTTAATGGCAGGGGTGATTGACGCCTCTAATTTTATCCACGCCAGCAACTAATTAGTTAGAAGGTACTTCCTTCGTTTCACAGTACAATATAAGTCATTCTAGCATTTCCCACGTTCATATTGATGTTAATGAATCTAGAAAATGCTAGAATGACTTACATTATAAAACGGAGGCTCACTCCGTCCAAAAATATAAACGATTTTTGATGGATGGAACATACCCTAGTACTACGAGTCTGAACAGAGAGTTTATTCAAATTTCATAGAACTATAATGTATATTATCCATCCAAAATCCCTTATATTTTGAGATGGAGGAGGTAGCATGTAGTATACACTATCTCCAATACAATACTACTATTTATTTTTATTCACTTGCATCTAATCAATATCACTCTTTTCATTTTCTCCCTTAGAGTTTGTGAGAGCTAAGTACAACAGTAGGCAATAGTCAAGCACATGTAAAGGACAGCGGGGAGGAGATAGAAGAAAAATGAGCTACATATTTGTAGCTAGTTGTAAGTTGCAACACATGCTCCGAGATATTATGTGTGTATGAGACGTGGACCAAAGTATAAATGATACAATATATGTTTATATAAAACTATTCTATGGGTAAGCTATTAAAATGACTATAGATAATATGTCAATTTTAGAAGTAGCAGTTGACTATACTATTAAACTTGCTCTGAAAATGCTACTCCTTACACGTGAGGTGACTTATCCTCTCTCTTCTTACCTCTCTTCTCCGCTCATCATTTAAGTATATGTAACATCTTGAGTTAGTGTATACTCCCTCCATCCCAAAAAAAAATTCTAATTTTAAAAATGAATCTGGACACATGTGTGTCCACATTCATCTCTAAAATTGGGCTTTTTCTGGAACAGAGGGAGTAAGACTCTAGAGGCTTAGAATAAGGATAGTAGTGTGTTACAAGCTTACGTGGAGAAGAAAAATAAAGAAAAAAAAAGAAATGTTGCTCTCACACATGAGCTAGCTCTCCACATGCTCTAAGATAAATACATTAGTTATAAGTTCATAGCCAGAGTAAAAGAGAGAAGATAATAAATAGAGCTAATCTTATATCTAACCTATTGTAAATGTTAACTCTAATATACACATATATATTGTTGTTAGTTCTACTACTATTAATTGCTCTTACAGTAACTGGTCTTAAAACGTGATCAAGACAACTTGTGTAAAAAAAAAAAGGTAACCTATCAAGACTGTGACCGTGTGCGACACTTTTAGCCCCATCGTTTGGCCTAAACAGCTAAAGAATAAGCCAAAATTTGAATTTTTGAACTTAATTTTGAAGTTGATTTTGAAATACTTTTAACGTAATTTTTTTTAATATTGGCTTTTAAGTCGTTACGAATAAATCTACAAAAGTTTTACTTATAAATTAATTTTAATTTTCTAATAAGTCAAATAAGCTATTTTGGGTCGAATGGGCAACCGATGGGAGCCTTTGTGGCTAATCTGAATCCCGTGATACGTGGTCCGATAATCTGTTCACATTTTTCACGTAGGCGCATCGGACGGTGAGAACCTGTGCATTTTTGCGCAAATGTGCATATTGTTCTATCTCCTGCGCGCGCTCATCAGTATTCAGTATCCGTCACTCCGTCGAGCAGTTCACAAGTCATCTTGTGTGGCTTTGCGTGCTCTGTCCTTTAACTGAAAAGCCAAAATCAATCAATCAATCCAGCCCTGCCCTCCTTTCGGTTTCGGGATCCCCTTTCCCCGCTTTCCCTGATGCGAGACCGAATTCCTCCTCCCCATCCGGATCCGGCTGGTCACCGTTGTGCGTGCGTCTAGTCGGAGATCAGCACGGCGAAAAAAAAAACCCGTGTGATTTTTAATCGAGAATTTCGACGACGCCATGCGTGCACCGTGCAGCGTGCTGCGCCGCCGCCTGTGCCGTGCGGAAACGGCCGTGCAAGCTCCTGCAGGCCAAACAGGCCGCGGCCCGTCACAGGCGACAAGTCAGGCCTGCCACTGCGATACCGACACCAAAGTATATATGTGCTCCCGTAACACGTCGTTTTGTTTTTTTTTTGTCAAAGTTTAACTGCTAATTTCCATTTTTATACTACTCCAAGTAACATTATTTTTGTGTAATAAGGAATGTTTAGTGCTTGTTGGGTGGCGCAAGATTATTCACACCGCACGCCAGGCAGGGCGCAATCGTGTCAGGAAAGGCCACGGAACATTATTTTTCGGCCCAACCGATGGCGGCGGCGGGCACCTCCTCCTCCTCCTCATCATCAGATCACCTCTCGAGCACGGCGCACCACCTCATCGGCCCCGTACTCCCCCGTCCCGTTCCTTCGTTCCGATTCGGTCCTTCGCCTCCAAGGCTCCAAGCCACCCGCGACCTCGAGCTTCCCTTCTCTCTCTCTCTCTCTCTCTTTCTCTCTCGCGGCCTCGCGTCCGCCTGCCTCCTCGCGACACCGCCCGTTCCGTTCGAGGGGGGGCGAAGCCGGGTGGGAGGGGGAAGAGGATGGCCTCCGAGGACGGCTGCGGCGGCGGCAACCCGCCGGGGGACGCAGCGGCCGCGCCGCCGGTGTGGAACGCCGCACCTGCGGCGGGAGCTGGCTGCGGCGATCTGGAGGAGGACCTCCGGTTCCAGTGCTGCGTCTGCCTGTGAGTTACGCCGCGTCTTCTCTCTGTTTTTTTTTTCTCCGCCCATGTTGTAGTGACCTTTGCCGGCGTATGAGCAGACGATCCCCTTTCGTTGATTGGACGTTCGTGCTGCGTGATTACGCGCCCTCGCTTTTGATCCAGTGCAATTCGCCGCTTATTTTCGTCGTTGATATTTTCTTTTTTGCATCGATTTTATGCTCTATACATTGCGCCGTCCCTAAATTTTTGCGTAGTGATATTAAGCTTAGATATTGTTAATGTAAGATCTCCATCTAGGAATACCGGTGACGAATTGTAGCCATAATTTGCTCTAGGTGACGGGAAAAGCAATTGTTGAGCTCGACATCTTGCAACATTTAGGGGAACATCTAAATAGGTTTAGATCATGCTCTAGACCTTTGATGGCGGAGGGCCTGCAACAGTCTGTTTTGTTGCCATTTGTCTAAACTGCGTTTTACATTGGCCTTCTCTTGTAAATGCTGAAAAGGCACATTGTCTTGCTGTAGTTTTTTTTTACTTTGACTGGTTTTGAATCTCTGGTCATTGTGTTAATTCGCAAATGATGGCATTTAAAGAAAGCACAGATATCTTATGTAGTTGTTCAATCTTTCTTGCAGGGAGCTTCTGTACAAACCAGTTGTTATTGGTAAGAGTTTGCTGTTCATGCTAACATAAAGAGCAACCTGATTGCATAGTATATATTTTTTGAAATCTCATTTATCAATTACTGGTGCAGCATGTGGACATATGTCATGTTTCTGGTGCGTCCACAATGCTATGCATATCATCAGGGAGTCTCATTGTGCTGTCTGTAGGCAGCCTTATAAACATTTTCCTAGTATCTGTCAACTCCTCCATCACTTGCTTATAAAGCTTGAACCTGTGGAATACAAAAGAAGGGAAAAAGAGGTACTAGGTAAGTATCCAAAATCCAAACCATTAAACCTCTTTCATAATATAAACAATACTGTTCATAGTAAATGTTTGTATTTCTTGCGAAGTATGGATACTGCATGTATTGTGTTTTGCATATGAATACACCGTCAATTTCGATGCTCTTGCAGATCTAGTTCAATTTTTTGGGGGTCATGTTTGGATTGTTATAGAAGCATTTATATTTCAAAATTATTTTGCGACTGCCATCTAAAGTGCTAGAACACAACCAGTTCTACTGAGCAATAATGCAATTTCATAATTTGAATTCAAATTCATCAAATCCAAATTGATTGGGGTCATCAGGGCAGAAGGGAATGTGATGGTGTATTCATGTAGAGGGTGAGGTTGTTATGGCATCGATGGTATAGGTTCCTAGTTGGCTGTGCAAACATGGATGTCAGAGGATGTTGCTGGCAATATGGGGATAGGGATTTGTAAGTTTTGGGTGAGATCATTGGATGAGGAGGATATTGGTGAATACATTGCCTTAGAGTTTGTGTTTAATGGATATTGAAAGTGTAGAAAAAGTTCACAATCTTATGCTGAACAACACAGAGTTTTTTCGCTTTGCAGTTACCATGACAGTTCTTAAATTTCACAATTCACACTATATGGATGAGTCCATCCAGTTTTACGTTTTGGCTTATTTTTTGTAGCACCAGAGTTTCAAGAATTACAGCACGCTTAACAAACCAAACATGGTTTCCTCTTCCAATAGCTGTTTGCCTGATTTCAGTAATTAGCACGTCCTATTTTTCTGCAAGTTCTTACTGATGCTCTTCTTTTGGTTTCGACTCAGAGGATGAGAAGCGTGTGGATACATATTCTCCACAAATCATTGAGTTTTTAAACTCCAAGAGCAACAATTGTGGTAAGAATTGTGCCATACAACTGCAATGATATTTGTCTCAGCTCTCAAGTTTGCCTGAACTTATAAGATGTGCTACCTTCTGCAAGAAATTGATGGGGAGAATAGACCTGAAGAAAGTAATAGTCGACCTCCACAAGAAGTTACATCTGATGGCAACACTATCAATGGGCATCCGAAGAAAGTTAAGCTGGAGGACGTGTCATGTGCTCTTTGTAAGGAGCTGTTGTATCAACCTGCTGTTCTTAATTGTGGTCATGGTAAGATTTAAAGCTAGAATAAAAAATGTTACGTATTGCGCTAATTGTCTCACATACTGACTTACCTTTATTTATGAAAAGTGTACTGCATGTCCTGTTTGTCGTCCTTGGATGATGGTGCACTCAAATGCCAAGTTTGTGGAGGTCTTCATCCAGGAGATTTTCCTAATGTTTGCTTGGATTTGGACCATTTTATCGAAGACTATTTTCCAGCAGAATATGACTTAAGACGAGAGAAGATTAAGCTTTTGAAGGGTGAATGCAATCAAGGATCATCTTCAGGTAAGCTTATCTCACATGGTGTATTTTCTTATATACCATACTGATACAGCATATTAAAATTAAGGAAAAGATCCTATTATTTTTTTAGAAGTAATTTTCTAACCATAGGGCGATGTTGCTTATGTGAAGTATTTCTAGTATATGGTGTAGCATTATCTTCTGCATGAAGAGATTGGCGTTTAGAACAAGATTCAGTCAAACTTTTGAAACTTTCCCCATCAATAACTTTTAAAATGCTTAGCTTATTTTTTTTAAAAGTTATGTGAAGATTTACCCTGAAAATCACTATGATAATATCATCAACTTATTAGAATTTATAAATTTATTTCCAATATAAAATTGTGAAAGCTGTACTTTGAGGACTGTAAAAAAGTCAAAAGTCATGTATGCTTTGACCGAAGGGAGTTACTATCTTACTGGTAACAATGAGTATTATATATTTATATGCCAATAGCCACTATGATTTATCCTATGATGTGAAATGCGTAGATGAATATTAGCAATAGTTTGTAGAAATTAACCACAAGATTTTATACTACCCCAGTTACAGGTCAGTAGGCCACAACCAGTGATACAGCACTGGAAGAGTGAGAGGAACCAGCTTGCTGCTTTCTGGGACAGTCATAGGAAGTTGGTTTCGATCTACTATAATTCTCTACGATACTGGGCTAGTTCTTTCAATTGTCTGAAAAGATAGCATGGATAATTTGCCTTTCCTGTTTTGCTATTGGTTATGGAAAGTTTGGGCACGAGTTATGAAAGTGATATCTTTGTAAATACGTATAACTTTCGAAAGGAATACCATAACTGATTTCTTCTTTCATGGCTAACTGTTTTTTTTTGTGGTGTGGTTAGGTACTTCATGCATAAAAGAAGGCAGGGGTAGACCAACAAATAAGGAAAACCGTGCACATCAGGATGATGACTTGTCAGATGTTCATATTGGGGTTGGATGCGATTCATGCGGGGTATGCACAAGTTGTGAACTTTTTAAGATTTGGTGAACATACATCCAATGGATAAACTGTTCTAGTCGCCTAGTAATATCCACCATGCAGCCCAAATAGTGATTTTTGGTTACTGGTAGTACTTTGGGTTCACTCAGTGCCAGAAAAAAAATGATTTCGTCTCTTAAATTATTCACACTAAGTTGTTGCAATCTCCATATTCTATCTTGTGATCACTTTGATGGGAACACATTTTCAAATTTTATTTAAGTTATTAGTACTTAATTCAAGTGTAGATTTGTGTTGGAAAATTAGAAATTTGTTTGCAAGACGAGGTTTACATAAGTTATGTGTCCAGTTGTTTAGTGTTCTCTAGCCTTTCTGGTTTTAAACCTTCTAATGTACTCCCACCGTCCCTTAATATAAGGGAATTTGGAGAGATGTGACATCCGTCCAAAATCTCTTATATTTTGGGACGGAGGGAATATTGTTTTACACAAAAAGGAAGCCTTAAATATTTTATAAGGTACATTTGTATCATGCCTTTATTCTCACTTCTCTGCTAATATGAAATTGACGAATGCATTGCAGATGTATCCAATACGAGGGAAGAGGTACAAATGTAAGGACTGCACTGAATTAATTGGATTTGACCTCTGCGAAGAATGCTACAATACAAAATCGAAACTTCCAGGCCGGTTTAATCAGCATCATACCCCTGACCACAGGATGGAACTTGATCATTCAGCACTCTTCAATAGGTTGATGAGGCTACAAGGGATACACGAGGAGGGCCCAGGAGAGATAATCATAGAAGGTGCATTTGTTGCTCCTGACGCTGTGGTGCATATAATAGCAGATGATCATGAGGAAATCGAGGATAACGGTGAGGATGATCACTTGCTCTAGAAACGAATCAGTGGTATTAAACCTGAATTTCGGCATTGTCCTTTCTTTAATGTGGAGGAGGCTACATGAATCATGAATGGTACTGTATGAAATGGAGGGATTGAACAAAGCTTGTAGGCGTGTAACGCCCATAGCCCCTTACTTCAATCTAATGGGAAACATCTTATTTCTGCTTTTGTAATCTACATTTATATTCTTGTTAATGGAAATACGAATGAGAAAAGAACGGCACCAGGTACAGCGTATCACAATTCACAACTGCACAAGCGAAGAAGCATCCTGTAGTTATTAATGTTTTGTAATAAATACCTTTTGTTTTATAAATCTTCTTTTGCACGTCTAGAAGCCTGGTAAGCTCTTTTCCTTGAGGCTCCAGACTTCAACAAAAGGGGGTGTTTAGATCTAGTGGTGTAAAATTTTGGCGTGTCACGTCGGATATTATATAGGTGTCACATGAGGTTTTCGGGTATTTATGAAAAAAAACTAATTACAAAATCCGTCAGTAAACCGCAAGACGAATTTATTAAGTCTAATTAATCCGCCATTAGCAAATGTTTACTGTAGCACCACATTATTAAATCATGGAGTAATTAAGCTCAAAAGATTCCACAAATTAGTCACAATCTATGCAATTAGTATTTTTTTTAAGCTTATATTTAATAGTTAATACAGGTGTTCAAACGTTCAATGTGATAGGGTGTAAAATTTTTCTGTGGGATTTAAACATGACCAAAATAGAATGTGCAATCTCGTCCCTCCGTCGCGAGCGGATTTGGATCGGCTTAAACAGTAACAGTGTATGTCATTGGATGTAAATTGGGCGTGCCAGATTGCATACTGTACTGTACAAAGTACTGTAGCATGAAGTACTGTAGCCGTTGTTACTGTAGCATTCGATCTGAGCCGTTGATCATAAAAACGGACAACCAAATTTGCGTGCAGTTGTTATCTCGCGGTTGCAACTTTCATGTATAACTGCACCTCATCCCAATTCGTCGCGAGCAGCTCCAGGATCACGGCGTAAACCCAGGAGCGGAGCCCCACCGGCACGGCGATCAAAGTGCCGCTGCTGCATGGGCCTCCCCCCTCCCCCTCCTCTCCCACCAGGAACAACGACGCCGCGTGCCCCTTGATCGCCACGACCCAGAGCTGTGCGGTCGTGTGGAGTGTGGACGAACTGGCCTCGGGCTGATTACGTAGTTCCGTGCCGTGCGCTTTCGTTTTTCATGACTACGATTATGCTTCTGCATCCGCTTGCGCGTGGAGCCGTGCACGCGCGAGTGAGCGACACGGCAAGGCAACGAGGCAAAGGCATAGAGCACGCGAATGGGGGTGGGTGAGTGGCGAGGCCGTGACGGGAGAGAGAGGCAACGGGAAATGAGGTACGCTGCGTACGCAACGCGCGGGGGGCGTAGTGGTTGGGCCGTGTCTTCATCCAGCGGTTGGGCCAGGTTTCAGCTTTGAATCCTGCGCGCAAAGGGGGAGAGCAAGGAACAAGTCCATTTCAACTCTGAAATATAGGTTCAATCTAATTTGTATCACTCAACATCAATATCAAATGTTAACTCCCTAACCAATAAAATCAGTCCAATTTAACTCCCTCGGCTATTTTTGCGGGCGGTTTTTGTTGATGTGGCTCATTGACCTAGTCTAACCAGCTGAGTCAGGGGGCCCATATGTTAGTGACTATTTTTCTTCACCTCTTTCTTTTTCTCTTCCTTCTCTTTTACCCATCAATGCAATTGGGTTGCTGGTGAGCGAGTCCCCTCGACCAATGCCCCCGACACGGCACTCTGTGGCACCGAGCTCGTTAGATCTAGCCCGAGGCTCGTCAGATCTAGATTTGAGAGGCGGCGGCGGCGACAACATGAGTACTTCCTCGAGCGTGCAAGGCCACTCCAACAAGGGTGGCTCGTCAGATCAAACTAAAGATCGATGGTGGCAAAGACGGAGGAAGCTCGACAGCGGCAGTGGAGAAAGTTCAGGAGGGGACTGGTGCTTCACATCTTAAGGGCACGACTTCCCCGACTCCTCGACACGATTTCGACCGTTGCCTCATGCATCATGGGCCTTCATCCTAATAAGACTTATGTGTTCTTATAGAGGCGCAACCCATACTAACGTGAATGAAGATCTTCAAATTAGCTATGTGAGGCCAAACTTCACCTCACCGTACACTGTGAATGGCCTTACTGAACCTTCGGAATGAAAAAGATTATAAGGAAGTGGACCTCCACCATTATATCAGCAAGGAGAAACTTTTGATGGTATTTGTTTATAATGAAGATGAATACGAAGTTAGGATACACAAAACAAGAAAATCATTAGCGCATGATTAGTTGAATTTTAATTATTGTAAACTTTAAATGACTTTATTAAAAAATAAATTCATTTAATATTTTTAAAACAACACCTATATAGAAAATTTTTGGCATAAAATATACCGATTAGCAATTTAAAAGATGGGCTAACGAAAGTCGAATAAAATATGTAATTTTAACAGAGATGAACACCGCCAATGAGGGATTTTGTACCGGTGGAAAGGAAAATTCTTCCTTTCTCTCTCTCTCTATCTCCGCGGGAAAAATCTCTCGTGTGCCTTTTCATTATTCTAAGTTTGACTAGCATGATACTAGTAGCAACTAACGCTTCTCTTTTCAACTCCATGGCATCACAAGCTGGCTAGTTGCTGCTGGCCAGTGTATCGCCGCGCCGCGAAATAGACGAACCTACAGGGTGTGTTTGGTTTTGCTTGCACCATTCTAGCCTGGTCCGTATGTTCCATCCAGGCTTACCCTAGCCTGGATAGGTGGGTGCAAATAGGGTTGTTAGGTTGGTTGTACGAGTTAAGTTGGTTGATTGTACGCGCAAATTAATCCTGTATACAAGAGATATTATTTGGTTTGGTGTATGAGGTTAGAATATGGTTACCTCCTCTTTTGTATGGTAAGATTACCCCTTGCAATTTTAGTGTACCATTCAATTGTAGTTATAGTACTATTCAATCAGCCAAATTTTGTTAAAATCTGTTGCATATGTAATGGGTGAATTGGTATAAAGAATTATAAAAAAAATAAATGGTGCCAACGATCAATAATTCGCCGCTTTATATACGCTATAACAGGTGAGGGAAAAAAATAAAAAGAAAGAAAAGAAAAAAAATGTGCATCTCGTTCTCGTCGATGTCATCCTCCCGCCGCCGCACTAATCGTTGCTGCACCGGTCGCCGTCCTCCACCCGCTGCGCTGGTCATCGCCGCAGCCCTCCTCCGCACCGGTCGTTGTCGTCCTCCACCCGCTATGCTGGCTGCCACCGTCCTCCACTCGCTGCGCTGGTCATCGCCGCAACCCTCCTCCTCCGCACCGGTCGTCGTCGTCCTCCACCCGCTGCGCCGGTCACTGGTCGTCGCTGTCCTCCACCCGCTCTGCTGGCTGCCACCGTCCTCCACTCGCTGCGCTGGTCACCGCTGCAGCCCCCTCTCTTTCCCCACTGCTCGCTACCGGCTACCCTCCCGGATCTGGTGGCCGGCGGCGGAAGAAGGTGCGGGACGGCGACGATTGAAGACGGTGGCCAGGGATTGAAGAGCTCATCGTCGTTCTCTCCGTCGAGCTCGTCGCCAAACCATCGCCTCTGGCTTCGCTCTCTGTCTAGGTATGAGGAGGGGGGGGAGAAATGAGGACGGGGCGGTGACTCCATCGCAAGCTGTTGCGTGCTCGGTCCCGACTCCCTATTAGGAATGCAAGTGGGTAGTCCCGCTATCCGTATAAAAACCCGTTTGCTAGTTTATTTTTCACGTGGTAGTATAAAATTTAGAAGAAAAAATAAACTAGAAGTGAGATAAGCGGGCTAAAAAAACCCGCTTACCCGCTCCACTTACATCCCTACTCCTAACACGTCGCCGTGTATAGTTTGTATACATACCCGGGACGAGGCAGGCACCGGGCGTCGGCAAGCGCGTCCTGCGTGACCGACCGGAAGAAACTTTTTCAGTTGTTGCAACCGCTAGCTCTCGCGCCTTTGCCTGCCTTGTTGCCTCATGCGCGCGCCGCAACGCAAGAGTGAAACACGGAGGCCGCCGCGCCCGCGTTATGGCGTAACCGCGCCGCAGTATACCGCATTAAGGTGCTGAGTCATCCCCGTACTGTACCTGTTTCTCTCTCTCTTTTTTTGACGCATCAATGCGCCCTCTGCATGCATGCATGCATGCCTGCCTGATTGGAGCCCCTGTCCTTGGCTGCAGTAGTGACAGTGGCCACAGACGATGACCTTGTGGCTTGTGCTGATTCTGACCGTCTCGATTGAATGACGACTACTCAAAGACACAGACACCCACACCATGAGAGAGGCACAGGAAAGAGAGGCGTGTGCGTCTCCATATGCGCTTCACGCCTCTCTCACGGCCTCCCTCAACACGGGTATAAAAGGCGAAGCAGTGGGTAGTGCTAGGTTGGGTTGGTGCTTGGCTAGCCACGGTATTATTGCGTGAAAGAGGGGGAGGTGAGGACGTGAGGTGAGGTGAGGTGAGGCAGAGTGACCACAGCGACGGCAGCGTAGCCATGGCGACCAGGCCGGGCCCTTTGACCGAATGGCCGTGGCATAGGCTGGGGAACTTCAAGGTACACGCCCAAATTCTCACCTTCTGATTTCTGAGCGAAGAAAACATGTTCATCCTTTTTCCTTGCTCCCCCGTTCGTTCCTCTTGATGAACTTCAACAGATGCAGTTGTTTGCATACAGTGAATGGCCAGCCAAATCCAAACCTTAAAATTGCACATCCCAGTACATGCATGCAGTTTCCTAAAAAAGATGATTATATTCTCGGCTAGTAGCTTTGTTTGACATGCATGGCATGGGGTGGCATGCGCAGTACGTGGTGATGGCCCCCGTGGTGGCGCACGGCGCGCGCCGGGTGATGCGCAACGGGTGGGGCGACCTCGACATCGCCTTCTCCCTCATCCTGCCGTCGCTGCTGCTGCGGATGATCCACAACCAGATCTGGATCAGCCTCTCCCGCTACCAGACCGCCCGCAGCAAGCACCGCATCGTCGACCGCGGCATCGAGTTCGACCAGGTCGACCGCGAGCGAGGCTGGTCAGTCACCTCAACACGCACACGCACAACAACAACAACAACAACAACAAGCAGCTACCACCACTGTATATATTCGTGCTGATTTGCGTTGCGTGCTGCAGGGATGACCAGATCCTGTTCAATGGGTTGGTGTTCTACGCGGGGTACCTGGCGATGCCGAGCGTGAGGCGGATGCCGGTGTGGAGGACGGACGGCGCCGTGGTGACGGCGCTGGTGCACACGGGCCCCGTCGAGTTCCTCTACTACTGGTTCCACCGCGCGCTGCACCACCACTTCCTCTACTCCCGCTACCACTCCCACCACCACGCCTCCATCGTCACCGAGCCCATCACCTGTAAGCCACACGACTTAAAGGCTGTGTTTCTTTACTCAATATTCTCAACTCCATCCTACTTGTTTTTCCACGCGCACGCTTCTCAATCTATTAAACAATGCTTTTTTATAAAAAGTTTTCTATAGAAAAGCTTTTTTTAAAAAATCACATTAATCTGTTTTTTTAAAAAAATAATTAGCCCTAATTTATCATTTGCTAATAAGTGGCTTTGTTTTACATGCATCAGTCATGAGTTCACACAACTCATAGCAGCTCATCTCACTTCGTTAGTTTTTGTTTAATGCCTTATCATCTCATGGGTGTTCATTTAATTAACTTGTTAGTACCGTACCGTGTCTCACTGTTCAGTCTAATAATTGTTATATATAGTTGATTGCGTTCTTAGATTAATGAAGTGCGCAGATCATAAATAGTAAGCACAAAGTGGCCGATATTGACTCCTCTCGTTTGTTTAATTTCATGAAAAAACTTTTTGTCACTTGCCGGAGATGCCATGCCCTACATTCCTAGTATGTTCTCGAGTTAAAATATGATGAAGTAGCAGTTGCACTCCTCGGAATAACACATTCTTAGATAATTAAAGAATTCGTCGTAGCTAAGAACAACACACATGAAAGTAAAGAATGACCAGCAGGATGCAGGAATCGAATTGAAGACACTGTACGGAGTATTAATTTCAGACCAACAGCTCATCTTCTACCAGAAAAAAAAAATCACAAATGTTCTGCCAACATCATTTATGTTCTCTGATCCATGAACAGTACCACAGTATCTTTTTTTTTTTTTTGCAATGCACCTTTTCATGACAAAAGAAGAAAAAGAACACCTACGGGACGGGATTGTGATATGTCCAGTCTGAGGCTCTGAGCTTCACACTGTGTCACTGTCGTAGAGTAAACGGCATAAATTGGCTGTACCTGCTAGGCAGAGAGAGAGAGAGGCCCGTCCAGCCTGCAAGAAATGAGAAATGCATGTGACTTTCTGAATTGCAGCGCTGATGTGTTCGATTCAGTTTAGGACCACTCCCGGTGCAGGCCAATAGTAGGAGTATTACCTTTCCTTACCAATTTGACCGATAAATGCTGGAAAGAACGGCCGGTATACTCCTATTGACATTTCACATGGCATTTGCAGAGCTTCAGTGATGATGGGTGAACAGCCTACAGTTTACAGCACAGAGCCTGTAGTTTACAGTACAGAGAGTACCCAATAAAACGAGACATAAATATTGCGGCTTGCAGAAAATGCAGTTTGGACCACCTCCACAACCTTCTGATCTAGATATAGCTGTTGCTATTACTGATACTGAATGGAAAACTGAAAACAAACATAGGTTAAGGGTTGGTTTAGTTCACGCCAAAATTAGAAGTTTGATTGACATTGGAACGATGTGACGGAAAATTTGGAAGTTTATATGTGTAGAAAAGTTTTGATGTGATGTAAAAGTTGGAAGTTTGAAGAAAAAGTTTGGAACTAAACTCGGCCTAAGGCCGTGTTTAGATTCAAACTTTTTTTTTTCAAACTTGCAATTTTTTCGTCACATCAAATGTTTGTATATATACATAGAACATTAAATGTGGACGAAAAAAAACCAATTGCACAGTTTACATGTAAATCGCGAGACGAATCTTTTGAGCCTAATTACGCCATGATTTGACAATGTGGTGCTACAGTCAGCATTTGCTAATGATGGATTAATTAGGCTTAATAGTTTCGTCTCGTAGTTTAAGGCGGAATCTGTAATTTGTTTTGTTATTAGTCTACGTTTAATACTTCAAATGTGTGTCCGTATACTTCAAAAATTTTGTCACACGAACTAAACACAACCTAAGTAGAATACTTCTTCCGTCCTTCAATGACTTTTTTTTAAACAAAGTTAACAAATTAGTAATAAGGGTAAAAGATCGAAGTGCTCCTCATTAATAAGAAAGTAGTATTGTTAGTGATAGTTAGGGGTATTGAAGGGATACAAAATCTTAATTCACGGACGGAGGGTAGGTAAGAAAGTTAAAATAAGTCTTTTATGGGCAAGGTTGAAAGACTAGAAATGAAATCCCTTTAGGACAAAGGGAGTAGTTTTTATCAAACGTTGGCAAATACAGGTCCTACAAGTAGAACAATTCGAAAGGGATTGATCGACTATTATAGTTGCTTTCTAAGTAAAAGAAAAGATCATATATCTGGGAGGAGGCTATTACCTGAAATTGAACGAGGTGTTTTAGCTATAAAACATCAGTGTGATGTTCATGCATAGGTCCTGTTGTTTTTTTATAAAGCACATATATAAGAGTATGTACCTACCCTGTTAATGCACAATTACTATTGGCACTTACAACGATTTTATACATTGCAGCTGTTATTCATCCTTTTGCTGAACATGTGGTCTATTTCATACTGTTTGCAATCCCCATACTGTCAACAATTTATTTGGGAAATGTTTCGGCCATGGGCATTGTGGGGTACATTGCTTACATTGACTTCATGAACAACATGGGACACTGCAATTTTGAGTTGGTGCCAGAGTGGATTTTCCAAATCTTTCCACCCCTTAAGTATCTGATCTACACCCCATCGTAAGTGCAACACTCTTCTCTCATGTATCTATCATAGAAATGTATTACCAACGTGATGACAGATTGGATCACTGAATTCACATAACTTGAAGTTCAGCCTCGTGAGTTCATAAACCCAATGCTAACAAACAAATGCTATTTCCTTCTGCAGGTTCCATTCTCTTCATCATACGCAGTTCCGCACAAACTACTCGCTATTCATGCCATTTTATGACTACATATATAACACCATGGACAAGTCATCTGACGAGCTGTATGAAAGCTCACTGAAAGGAACGGAAGAAACACCTGACCTTGTTCATCTCACGCATATGACCAACTTGCAATCAGCCTATCATCTAAGGATAGGAATTGCATCCATAGCCTCCAAACCGTACAGTGACTCTGCGTGGTACATGTGGACGTTATGGCCCTTGGCATGGCTGTCAATGGTACTTGCATGGATTTATGGGTCCTCAGCATTTGTCGTTGAGAGAATTAAACTAAACAAGATGAAGATGCAAACATGGGCATTACCAAGATACAACTTCCAAGTAATCACTTCCCCTCGCTTATGCATTTCTAAATTCAAAGGTATGGATTATGGAAGATACTAACTGTTCTGGTTTTGCACTCTGCAGTATGGCCTTACGTGGGAGAGAGAACCAATCAACGACTTAATTGAAAAGGCAATATTGGATGCTGATATGAAAGGGGTTAAAGTGATTAGTCTAGGACTACTGAATCAGGTGTGGAGTTCTTACCTTTAAAGCTCGTGTAATGAGAATCAAATTAATAGTTTAATGGCATGGTAAAGGTTGAAAGTAGCATGATAAAACGTGCCAAAAATAAACAATAACAAGAAAATCTCATGGACATGTCCTCTGTTTCATGTTAAAAATGTGATTAGTTGAAAAAGGACAGCAGGAGTGCAAAAATTTAAGTTTGTGCTATTTTTAGGAATTCTCAAATTGCATTTTAGAGTGTGTATAATCCTGAATCATCATGAGAACTGAGCATTTTTTTCCCCTGTTTCCTCTTCAGGCAAAGCAGCTCAATGGAAACGGTGAACTATTTAGACAGAAGTATCCAAAATTAGGAGTTCGAATTATCGACGGAAGTGGCTTAGCTACTGCAGTGGTGCTAAAAAGTATTCCTTCAGATGCAAAGAAAGTTTTTCTTCGTACAGGCACTTCTAAGATAGCTCGTGCCATTGCCATTGCACTATGTGACAGAGGTGTCCAGGTATAATCTATATATCAATTTGCAAATCATCGTTGTCTTGAATATATTTTGGTTAATTTTTCTCATAATTTTTGCCTTAAATTGCATTACATTAATCTGGATCAGGTGATCATGAATGAAAAGGAGGTATACCACATGCTCAAGTCACAAATACCAGAGAACAGGGCAAGCTATTTGAAACTCTCGAGCGACAACGTACCTCAGGTAAAAAAATTGTTGCAAGAAATGGTGACAAACTCTCAAGCAACATGATGCACCTGTAGACTCTTCTACTAGTAATGTTAAAATGTAGCTTATAGACTCTTCTACAAGTAATGTTAAAATGCAGCTTATATTCATGCTAATACTTCATGTTATTGCAGCTTTGGATAGTACACAATATTGACGACAACGAGCAAAAGATGGCGCCAAAAGGAACAATTTTTATTCCCATATCACAGTTCCCCCTTAAGAAACTTCGCAAGGACTGCACTTACATGAGCACCCCAGCAATGAGGATCCCGGAGGAAATGAAGAATATCCACTCCTGCGAGGTAATACAGATATGTTATCTGCTTTGTTAATCTGAAAATATACGACATCAAAGAACCTCTTCTTAATAGTGCTACTACCTTTGTGGTCAGAATTGGCTTCCAAGAAGGGTGATGAGTGCTTGGCACATTGCTGGAATACTTCATGCTCTGGAAGGATGGAACATGCACGAGTGTGGGGATGAGATGATGGATATTGAGAAATCATGGTCAGCTGCCATTCGGCATGGATTCCTTCCTCTCACTAAAGCTTGACACCTCTGGAAGCATGGATGGTGTATTCCATGCTAGTAGATGATGCTATGATTTCCAGCAACGGCATAATCCATTCATTATCTAGCTTGGGAACCAGATGGATTATTCACTTATTATCTTACTATGTTTGTAATACTGAGCTTGGGTACTGATAAGTCATGAGGAGGCACAGTGCAAACGAACTTAATTCCAATAGCTCAGTATTTTATAATCTATAGTCTATGTCAGTTCTGTAACATTACGTTTATCTCTTATTTGAATCTTGTGGGGGAATAATTAAAATAATAGGCAATGTTTTCTTGTTTAGACTTCGCAAAGTAAAACCTGACTGATCGCACGGTCAGTGCTCTTGAGACGAGACAAACAAGACCAGGTAAAGCTAAGCTTACTCGCTGGCTCGCTGCTACTATCGTTTTAGCCTTCCCTTAAAGTTTGATTCGACACTGTAAAATTCGCCCATGACGCTCTGCACAAAATCTTTGAAACTAGTGGCAACACAGCAAAATCAGATGCATCACTGGCTTCACACTTCTAAGGCTGTGTTCTTTCCTGGGTGATCTGGGTGATTGTGAGTGAGTTTGTTTCGTTTTCCGCACGCACATTTCCCGAACTATACGGTGTGTTTTCTTTTGCAAAAAAAATTTATAGAAAAGTTGCTTTAAAAATCATATTAATCTATTTTTAAAATTTAAAATAGTTAATAGTCAATTAATCATTTGCTAATGGCTCACCTCGTTTTGCGTATATTCCCAATCTCCTCGATTTCCTCTCCACTATCGTTTGGTTTGAAATGCTTCGTTCAAAAAGGAAACCATCGACCCTTCAAGCACACAGCACCAGTGGTCTAGTGGTAGAATAGTACCCTGCCACGGTACAGACCCGGGTTCGATTCCAGGCTGGTGCACGTTTTGTTCTTCTCTTACCTTTTTTTTTAACCGATCCGATGACTATGATCTCCAAAAAGTAAACACGCAGAGTATCAGAGTGTACTCTCTATTTGAGTACCAGAGTACTAGGCATATGTTTGTGTCATGGAAGAGTTGCACAGTGTATTCTTCCGATGACTATGCTCTCCACGAAGTAAACACGCAGAGTATCCGACTATCAACTGCATGTATTGATTCAGAGTGTACTCTATATCAGAGTATCAGACTACTAGGCATATGTTTCATGTTTGTGTCATGGAAGAGTGGACAGTGTACTCTTCTTTCTTGCATGCCGAAAATGAAGGGAAATAGTGCTGGAAGAAAGCAGAAATGCTCCACATACAAATGATTCCCCAATATAATGCATTGAGCTAGAGCTATATCATGGCAGAGAGTTCACATTCCAGAATTCTTTACATCACTTGGTATTGGTAAAAGGAACAAAGAACGGGCAACCAAGCATACTGCTTTGCGGGCAACCAAGCTTGGAAAAAAAGGACAGCAGTTCGTATGAGCTGTTGGAATATTTAAGTGCTGAACCAGCAGTCTGTAACTCTGGAATCTGGATTGTTTATCCTATTCCAGAGAAAAATTACTATATCATCTTTCTGGACGATACCATCAATGGCTCTGCATTGACTTCCTTGAATCACTTGAATAGCAGAGTAGAGAATTCATAGGTTAAACCCGCGCCCTCGATTTAGATCCTGTGGCAGTATATAAACTTTTGTCAGCTAATGCAATTTCATTGATGAACCAGACGAGTGCAGCAGCATAGAACCACTCATCTATACATATGGAGACACAAGGTAAATGCCTCACAGAATCAGCATTAATAAAGCCATATTTTAGGGGAGAACCTCAACTTCCTAAATGCACATATAGATGCCATCAGGAACTTACTGCGCGTTTTGTCTCGGCAAAACTCACTTCCGCAATGACATTTGAATGCCTTCACAGGATGGTCGACATCATCAAAATCAATCCCATAGTCCTGCAGGTAAACACAAGATCATGGCAAACTTCGAAAAATGACTTACAACAGGTAGTGCTCCATATGCTACATGATTCAACCAAACAAAGGGGGGATACTATCTATGGGAAAAGCACTAATGAGTATCAAGTCACAAGGTGGCCACCAAAAGGTCAAAAAGCCCAAAACATAAGATGAAAGCAAATTCAACTAGAATGTCTGAAAATGGTTATAGTCCACATGAAATGGAGCTTAAATTTAAATTGTGGAGTACAACCTACCCATGTGAGTTCCTCAAAAGGCTCTATTATCCTTGTTGTGAAGAACGCCAGCTAACCAAAAAATGGAAGACACAGAATAAGCTCAATATGGTTTAACTTGGACTAATATATATCAGTTACAAGCTAAAGTTGAAAAAATACATGGTAATAATGGTGGTCGGGCGTCTCGATCTCAACAGGTATTCCTATAATATTAGCATCAAAGCACCTGAAAACCGTACAATGATATGCCAGGTCAAGAAGGAAGAAGTGTTAGATTCAGCAGAGCACAGAAGCAACATTTTTTTAAGAAATACTTATATATTCAAAATTTGGATAAGACTTTGTTCTGTTAGCTAGCTTCAAATAAGAGTAACATTGACTTAACTATCTTGATTAAGTGCTGACATCAGGCAATAATATAGGTTGCAGCCAAACAATCACTAATCTACGACATCAGGCAATAATATAGGTGCAGCCAAACAATCACAAATCTACGATGTTGTTCACAGTTTTGTAACGAGAAATATCATATAATGACAACTGAAAAGCACATATTAAGTTAGTTCACAGAACCAGGGTTAAACGCTATGGTCCATGAGGTTTTAGTTGGGACCCCACTGGTAGCCATTTACCAGTCACACCAATTGTCAATTTTCAATGAAATTTCCTACACTTTCAACTTGAAGCACACATATCATGGAGAACTCACTAAATCGCAGAACAGTCAGAAAATGTACATCACCAGGTTCTCACTGGGAAAACCAGAAAGCGACAAGAACCAGCTCATCCCTTTTTTTACCCATCCCATAGAAGCAACAGCTTCATGTATTACAGAGGACTCCATAACAATCATTAGACGTTCTGGTAAAAAAAGAATCCATTATTATAAATAATAAATGGATACCTGTGGTTTATAAATCTTGCGACGTTACCATAAAACGTGGCATCTAGACAAAGGGCTTCCTCATCCTTAAGAACACCTTCAGTACCCCAGTCGGCATCAAGTAACAATGGGTATGTGTGCTTTGCTTTACCAGTCTTTTGAATTGTACGGTCATACAACTCAATGTTCGTTAATATTTCACCAACATACTCACAAACAAAAGCACCTCGAGGAAGTTTCTCAGTACTGCGCAATCCCCATCCTTTTTTTTCAGGGGTTAAGAACACCTGAAATTTTAGAAAGAACAAGAAAAATTATTAAAACACGTAAGCAATGAGATGTTTACTGTGACAAGCACATGATCATACACATGATGCACTATCACAACAAACTGCTGCAGCTAACATCATAATTTCAACAATATTTGGCAGTTGACAAATTATCGTCAAGCTAGCAAAAACTTTGATATTATTACTTACCTGTAAATGGCGTGTGATGCCTCGCTGCACCACACGGTTTCCACAATTTCTAGTGCAGCCGCATTTTCTCCAGCACTCCTTGATGAATTTCCTTGTAAGGTGTCCTTTACAAGGACCAGGATTCATTTCTGTGTTTGATGAATCAGAATTTACTTCTATCTTCATTCGTTCGTTTGGGCAAATCTTGCAGTAGAAATGGGGATGTTTAAGTGGTTCTCGAATCATTGAGATACAGCTATCTAGAAATGCTCCCTTAAGAAGGCCATCTGTTGTATAAGCAAACTCTCCTCCTGTTTCTGCAGCACACGCACAAGGAAGTGATTGTGCCAGACAATCTCTGAAACAATCAGAACAGCAATTGTCATCTCCGATTCTAGCAAGGGAGATGTTTACATAGGCTTCTTGGAGTGTGATATTGTGTGGTATGTAGTGAAATGGAGGAGGAAGAATCCCATTGCCATATTCATTAATAATTGGAATCCTTAAACGTTCTTCACCTTTTGTGATATCATTGACATCATGAGGTGGTCTGTTGGCACCAATATGTAGTTGATGCGGAACAACCGGCATATTACTAGAATTCTGGCTAACTCCAGCAACAGTGCAAGAGGAAGAAGTACCACCAAGGCTCATGACATTATTAGGTGGCATAAAAGCGGAATTAGCTTGATTTGACTGCAATATTTGCGGCACTGAAGGTTTGGACAGAATGTCCAGGGCAGGAACAGTTTGTATGATGCCTTCATGTCTAGGTCCACTAGATTCAACAATACACTGGCAAGTATCTTTAATAAGATTCTTAAAAGAGAAATTGGGTTCTAGGCTCTTGTATTTCCTAAGGCATCTAGCCTCCATTTTCTTGCAAATTAATTTAATGTCAGGCAGATGAAAATCAGAACGGTTTGCCAGGGAAGAGTTGTATGTGAATGATAGTTTCCCAGCTCCATAATTTGACAAAACTACCTCAATGTTGGATGGAGAATCCTTGCTGCTTACAATTTCCTGGTTGCTACACGCAACAGCCCTGTTCCTTTCATGCGCACCAGATACACCTTCATGCTTCTGATCATGGCGAGCACCAGAAGTCCTACGTGCATCTTCATAACGTGAAAAATAGAAAATCCAAAAGACTTGATTAGAAATGAAGTAAAGAGCTAGCAACAAGCCAAAAAAAGAATATAAACATGACAGCAACAACAATGACACTTTCTGCAGGAAGCAAAGGACATCTCTAGAATACTCCAATATTGTTCAGTATCACTAGACAAGCATGCTCGCAACAGAGTAGAACAGGGATTTAAAGGACTGACATTTGTACAGTTATTAGAGATCAAATTCTAGACCAATTCTTTGCCAGGAGATATCAACATCCAGAGCTCTAGACCTCCCTGCCCCATCCCCCAAAATAACAGACATAAGATCATAATCCCTCAGACATCCACACATAAAATTCTATATATCCAAAAAACAGCCACATGTTTTTTTTTCTTTTTGCAAAAAGTGTATACGATATGTGAATAAATTCCACAAAAACAACACTACCTTTCACAAAACTATAAAAATCACACTTCTAAGCAACAATTTCAGATAACTATGTGAACTTACTCTCTCTCTATATATATACCATTATAGAGGTATACGTCCACTCTTTGACCAAAATTGACAACACAATTCGAAATAATCTCTGGCCAAATATAAATGGTCTTTAAGTTAATAGTCACAATGCAAGATTTTCACAACTTCTCTGATCGCAATATATTGGCAACAACATTATATCAATATTAGTTTTTTTCGCCGGGAAGGCCGAAGGAGGCCATCTGAATATCAATATTAGTTTTACTTTTGGATATATTGACAACCCTAGTTCAAAAGGAGTGACCACAAAATCCCACAGAAATATTACTTAAATAACGGGTCTTTTTCAAATCCAAGTTTGAGGATCATGATTCTTATTGTGAAAGTAGTAGTAAAAAATTCTCTTTAAATAATAATGCACTCATGTCTAGCAAAATGCTTTACAATACACGCTTGCTCTCAAAGCCTCAACACCCCATTAACTGGAATTTATATAAAGTATTCCTTTCAACTCTAAACCATAAGTAATTCATCTTTTTTTTAAAAAAAAAACGCTACAGTGATGTGTAGGTAGGAAGCTGATTAACAGACCAAGACTATATTAACATAATGTTAACAAATTGATAAAATAGCACTGAAGTTGACAACAATACAACCCAACAATTAAACTTACTCCATGAATTCCCAACAATAAGTAGTCATTAATTTTGGATGGTCTATGAATTAACAGCATTATGAAAGTAAATTGATGATGGACACACTAATATTGCTTTTATGCAGCTGATTTAGATACATTTGTCAAATTTCAAAATGTTGTTACCGCACCACGCCCAAAAGATGTTTTGGAACGGATAGAGTGGAGAGAAGAATATTTAGATTAGCACACTCAGGTAGACAACATTAATAGGCTGGGCGACCTGTATGTTTTAGTTTATACAATAAAACTAGATTAATTTGTGGGAATCCATCAACAAAGCATTAAAAGGTTAGCATTTTCATATAAATTATTAACACTATGTCGCCTACAAAGATATTACCTTTGCGAGTACTGGGGGCTACAACTTGCGGACAAGTAGTTGCTACTGGGACCTCAAAAGTTTGAAGGTCTTGACCATGGCATAATACAGCAGAATTATTTTCAACAATTGTTGTATTCTTTGCAATGCTAGGGCATGTATGTGGTTCCTTGATCAGTAATTGTGAAGAAGGCAACTCCAAGTGGGCCCTGGTGACTTTCTTCCCATTAACAGTTCGGGCAGACAGTGTGCCTCGTCCCTGCTGTGGTGGAGCTTCAACAAACTCTCTATTGTCATTGCCATGCATCTTGGATGTAGGATTTTGAGAACGCTTTTTTGTCTTAAGCTTCTTGTTAGATTGGTCTGCATCAAGATTTGTCTCATTAGCTTGCCTTTTCTGTCCTTCCTGGTACATCACCAAAACTTGAATCAAATCAAAATGGCAGATTAATGAAATAATAAGATATATGGTGCTCACATAATAAAGAATAAAACTACACTACTGACTTAAAGAACCAAATATTTAATAATATGCCAGAACAAAGCAAAAAGATTATACTTTGGGATCTGAATCACAAAATATAGCATCAGCAAGAGCCAGATAATTATCAGCTTCTATATGCACCCAGTTGTAATCGAATAAGTTTAGTAGATTATTCAACACGGGCGCAGCAGTTTCCTTTAGGATACCAATATCAGCCATGGCTCTGATAGCAGCATCAAATCTATCCTTGGAAATCTTTGGAGGAGCCATCCTGCTTGCAGTGGAACAAATCAGCATGGCACATTAACACGTGATATCCTTTGAGAAAGCAAGTGATAAGAAAAACCATATACACATACTAAGCATGGTATCACAAACATCTTACGAATGTACAATGAAGTTAAGATTGTGATACATTACGAGAAGTTGTGGACTAAGCACACTAGGCTACAGGACCAACCACAAGAGTACTCCAGGTACAAGCTAACTTATTTATCCTTGGAGAAGGGCTGTGCTTATTGCTGAATTTTCAATCTATTGTGCATGTTAATATTATTCTTTCAGTCAGCATTTGAAATAGATTACTCACCGGATAATTGCCACATACCATCTACTTGATTATAGGAAAAAATTAAATATTTTGAGGAATAAACTTAACAAATAGCACTATAACCAGAATGGTTATATATGCCAGGGGAAGTGACTAGTTTTCATGACACAGCAGTGCAACAACAGGAAAAACAGAAAATGAGTAATTCATACTACTTGAGCAGCTGACATCCAATCTGCATTATTATCTCTCCATGTGCATGCAAAGTTAGACAACTTGAGCAGCATTCAGAAATGTATACCTTGTTCAGTGTTACATGAGGCAGTAATGTTCTGTAAGATGTGTCTATGGTTTAGTATAAGAATTCTGAGTGTGCAAGACATGTCATATATTCGTGAATTATTTTTTTTTTGCTGAGTGAGATAGAGTTTGGAATCGGATAATATCATCGGATGCCCATAAAAACAATTGTATTAAAAAATGCTGAGTAAAAGAATAACTCTTACGACAATCCCGTGTCACCCGTTTTCTCTTTGCCATTGGGTTTGGCCATTCCAGTCCTTAGCTGAGATGTGGAAACTGCTGACCCTGCAAATACAATAGTGTCCGTGAACAGAAGCAGAATACATATAACCTTTAGCTCAATTGTTCATGTTTCTCTGCCATCAGAATGCAGTAGCAAAAACAAACATCATAAGGAAATCATGCTATAAAACTGTGTCAGAAATTGGCACTTTTAGGTTATTTGAACAGTACTTTCTGTTCAGAGAACTGTTCAAGCTACAGTAGTAATAATCTCTTTTTGAATTGCAGTAGTCCATAAATAGGTGTATAATGATCATTTACTAAATATAGTTATAATGTAAGCCATAGTGTCGAGTTGATAAGACTAATAATATGGGCAAGTGGTTTACCTTGTTCACAATGGACGAACAAGTTCAAAAACATATAAATCTGGTTTGTAGAGGATAGGATTTCCTCAAAAAAGATATAAATTCCCTTCTTAATTAACATATTGAATACAAACAAAGTAAAATCAATTTCAGATCATATTAGTCACTGGAAACGGGGTCAGTGGCAGCGAATCCTAGACCCGGGAACGCCATCCCCGTTAAGGGAACGCGGGGTCATTTTCGTGCCCACCTTGTAAAAACCTCTCACAAGTAGCATACCACGTTTCTCGACCCCGTTCCTCAATCCCGTCGACCCGGGAACTTTGTGACTAACAAACGCAGGAAATTGCAGTACTATCCGATCGGTATTGAATATTGGTTTTGAAATCCAGTCTAAAACTTTACATGGGTGAATCCACCCATTTGATACTACAAATATCCCATTGCAATTGTCATGGAAGGAAGTCGCAGTCCTATCTAGATCACTCACATCACCAAGTCTATTGTGGTTCTGAAACATAAGAATGCCATTTCTGCCCTAGCTATATTATATCCTGCTGCATTTGACTGAGTTAATCCAAACAGTTGCTTAAAAAGGCTTCAGCAAAAAAAAAGTGGGAAAATCGTAGCTACAAACCTATGGAAATATATTTCAATATTTCCCATGCAATCATTTTCTTTAATAAAACATTTGATATCTGGTCAAATTTCCCACCCAAACTATGCGCAACTCCATTAAAGCTTATTTGAATATATAATTTATTATATATATATATATATATATATATTCTTTCTTCTATTTTCAATCTACATAGCTATAATCTAGACCAACCATGACTAGTGGCATATATCTTTCTCTTTTTTTACCTCATTAACATGGTAATTTCTAGGCCTTGAGAGCAAATATGTTGGCTCCATTTAACCTTCACTAACTTATATAATACTCCCTCTGTCAAAAAAAATATAAACAGGCGCCCCCTCGCTGTCGCTACTTCCTTTGGTTGGTCACCCTTAACCGTTGCTGGATAGCGGACCGCCTCCCGAGTCGTGGTTTGTCACACCCGGATCGATGTGTTCTTTGTGATCAATGCGAAGAGACGATTGATCATCTCTTGGTCGAATGCCCGGAATCGCGGCAACTATGGTGGGTTGCATTCAAAGCTATCGGGCATTCGGAGTGCTTACCGCTCATTAACACTCTTTCTTTTCATGGTTGTGTGACTGTCATAAGAAGATGGTCAAGGAACATCGCCGGGGTTTCGACACCATCGCAACATTGGTTGCATGGACGATCTGGAAGGAAAGAAACAATCGAGTCTTCAACCAGAAGAGCAGAACTTGGGTGGAGGTTGCAAGGGTTATGACGGGTGAAGCGGAGCTGTGGCGGCTAGCAAGAGCTGCAATCCCTGTTTTGGTAGCCCATGTTAGTGGAGAAGGGTCGCAAAAATTTAGTTGGAGATTAGGCTTTTAGTTTTTTGTTCTCCTCCTGTACCCTGTCCCCTTCGTTTTGTCTTTTTGGCCCGCTTTATACATACATTTATTCCTTCTTAATACAAAGATACGCTCCTCGTGTATTCCAAAAAAAAAACACTTTTGGAGTTTTTCCCGGACATTAAGAAGAGGGGTTAAATTACATTAGGGATGGTTGTGATTGGTTGAGATGGGAAAGTAGATGCAGAAATTAAATGAGGGATGGTTGAGATGAGGGAGTAAGTGGAGAAGTAGCTATATTTTCTGACGGAGGAAGTATATAGAATCTAGCCTTTTGAACAAATACCCAAGGCTGCATTCTGATATATTATGACCTTTTGAACAAGTACTCAATGTTGCATGCATCTAATTCTTCACATAGAACGCCTCCAACTCCCGAACAGGAAGCTCACAAGTCGGCACAATGGTGGATTTGGGGGCAATAGTGCCAAAGGCACGCCCAGATCTCACAAATTTTCACACAAGAAAACTAAGCAGGAGAAGCAGCCTTATTGTGATCAGAGCAACAAACGAGCAACTCAAAGCGACTGAACAGGCACCCAAAATACAATACGAGCAAAGCTCCTCAACCTCGGAGCGATCACATTCGCACACCCAAGCAACGCGGGAGGACATCGAAACTTCGCAGAAATAGGCCGAAGAAAAACCCTCATACGAGGAGCCCTCACCCCGCATCACAACAGGGGCGGACCTAACGTGGTGCATGGTGCATGTCCCACCCGGCCAAAACCCCAATTTGCTTCAGAGAAAGAGGTGCGTATAGAGAGGGATGAGGAGGATGAGGATGTGCGCGTACGGGAGCTCACCGCGGCGAGGGTGCGGCAGAGGACCGCCGGCACCGCTGCCGCTCGCGGGATGGGGATCGTCGCAGGCGGCGGCCGGCGGGCGAGGAGACGGGAGGGGAAGGCGAGGGGACTAGGGCGCGAGGAGGAGGAATTAGAGGCGCCACCTGCTGCTGCGATGTTTGGGCGGTACGCGCTTCTTGTACCCTCGGACCTCGGTCGGTCTCCCTGTAACCTGTATGTGTGTGTGTGGATCCACTGCCATCGGCTGAAACAAACCCGGTGCTTCGGGTTGGTGACAGCTTCATACATTCCATTTTGCATCCGTGTTAATGTGTTAGTATTACGTACATCAACCGGGTGTGTCTGTCAATATAACTTACTTTCTTTTTTTCTCACCTTATAATTAATGACGATTGATCTTCGTTCGTGGTTGGGAGGATATCCTGAATAGGAGATGACCATTTTAATCCCTATAAGGCTGTGTTCGCTCTAACGTGCGCACAGAAAACAGAACGGTCCATTAGTATGTGATTAATTAAGTATTAGCTAATTTTTTTTCAAAAATAGATCAATATGATTTTTTAAGCAACTTTCGTATAGAAACTTTTTTTAAAAAAAATACACCGTTTAACGGTTTGAAAAACGTGTGCGTGGAAAACGAGAGAGATAAGTTAGGAAACCTGAGTAAGAACACAGCCTAAGTGTTTTTGTTTGTTGGCATGGGTGGATGAGACGATCGAAAGAGAAAATATTCCACGTAGATACTGGATAAACATATCCAGCCAAATTGACCGAGTGAGAGTATCATATTTAACCTTGAACATGAACCAAACGTGCACTTTATTGTATCCAGCCCTACAACTTCCTTAACTTGTGATTAATCTCCATTCACTGTATTCTTATTCCTTCCATAGATACAACGTTCACTACTAGAAAAAGCATTTTTGCATATGGCCAAAAGCAATTTTTTCAGACGGAGAGGAGGATCGCCTGCAGACCAATGACTGTGAAAATCATCTATTTTCGCAGTTGGGGCAATGGCCCGCCTGCGAAAATCCAATAAAAAAACAAAAAAAATCACCTCGTCGCCGTCCATGCGCATGCCTCGCCGCCACCGCCCTCCCCCGGCCTCCTCCGGCTGGATCTGGAGGGGAGGGGATGGGAGCCGCCGCCGCTGCAACGGGAGCCACCGACCACACGCGCGCCTCGCCGCCGCTGCCGCACCGGGAGCCATCATCGACGTCGCCGACCACGCGCGCGCCTCGCCGCCGCCACCCTCCCCCAGCCTCCCTCCGTCCGGATCGGGGAGGGGAAGGGAGGGGAGGGGAGCCACCCACGTCGCCGTCCACGCCGCCGCTGCCCTCCCCCGGCCTCCCTCCGGCCGGATCTGGGAGGGGAGGGGAGGGGAGCTACTGCCGCCGCACCGGGAGCCACCGATGTCGCCGTCCACGCCACCACCGCGTCCGCGCACTCCGCCGCTGCGCGCTCTACCGCCGCCGCGTCCGTGCCGCCGGTGGAGGGAGGGAGGGGAGGGGAGGGGAGAAGCCGGTGGAGGGAGAGAGAGAGTTGAGAAGATAAGTTTGGGGAAATGAGTGGTGGGGAGGGGTTGGAGGAGTAGATAAGTATCATTTTTTTTTGAATGTACGATTTTTACAGGCGGACCACATAAGGTGCGTCTGCGAAAATAGATTTTCGCAGACGCCGCTTAAGTGGTCCGTCTGTGAAAATACAGCGAACTTCACCCTGATTTATTTTTTTTAGGCAGTTATTTGACTCCAAGGTTCATGTCTACCTACGAAAAAAAGACCCCACGTCAGGAAAAATGCTTTTTCTAGTAGTGGTTGTAAGAAAAAGTATGTTTTATCTATATTCCCATGTACATCAACAATGTAGTTTAAATGAACTTGTCCATGTCTGTTTGTGCGCACTGCCACCGGCTGAAACAAACCCGATACTTTGGGTTGTACGCAGCTTCTTGTTTCATATTTACATTCGTGTTACCATGTATATCAACGGTGTGTCTGTCAATATGTCTTACTTTCCTATTTTCTTACCATTTAATTAATGAAGATTAATCTCCGTTCATGGTTGAAATGATATCGAGATAGTCATCTAATTGTTGAGCGTGTTTAGTTAGTGGATAAGTATGTATGGGACAGTCAGAGAGAGGATATTCTACAAGAATTTTGAATGAGAATATCCGGCCAAAATGGCTGAATGAGAATATCCTATCTAACCATGACCATGAACCAAACGCATATTTATTGTATCTAGACATACGACGTATTTCCTTTTTCCTCGACTTCTAATTAATCTCTATCAATGGCTTTCTTGTTTCTTTTCATATATATGTTTTATGGGTGTTCCCGTGTACATCAATGGTATAGTTTTACTGTGCTTATCCTACAACTTACTTTTTCTTTCCTTGAGATATAATTAAGGAGTATTGATATTTGTCCGGCAACGCGGCTTTCCTGTTTTCTATCATCTTTCCATTTGTTCTCCTGTATGTAGCAACGGTTTAGTAATGTTGTGTTTGGCCTCACAACTTTGCTTCCTCTTTCCTTGATTTAATTAATACTACATGTTTGTGACTTCCCTATTTCCATATCCATGTTTCCATATATGCTTTCATGTGCGTCTATGTTTAAGTTTTGTTGTACTAGTCCTCGCATCTTATTTTCTCTTTCCTCAATTTCTAATTAACAAATATTGATCTCTATCCAGCAACCAACACAATTTCTCTTATCCCATGTCCATGTGTTACAATAGTGATCTCCGTGTACATAGTTCAAGTTTGTGCTTCATATTTTCTCGACTTCTAATTAACGAGCATCAATCCATTTCTAGTAATTGATACACCTTCTCTCTTTCCATATCTATGTTTCCATCTATATACATCAATGGTTCAATTTTAGTGTGCCTAGCCTCACTTTGATCTTTTGCAAGCAACAATGATGTAGCCCCCATAAATAACACATAGCGGCAAGAGCAGCCAGGCCATGCCCATTCACTGACGTAGCACAAATGCATAACAATGTTGCTTCTACACGATTCATGGTTATTGCCTTAGTCCTATATTAGGCTTCATTCGGTTTAGAGGATTTTTATAGGATTATTGTAGAAATTAAATCCTTAGGATTTTTTTTCTATATGCATCATTCGTTTCTTATAAATGTAGCCTACCAAATTCCTAAGGATTGTAGTCTTACAAGCTAATTCCATAGGATTTTTAGCATGAGGTAAGACCTCTTGAAAAAAAATCCTAAGGAATGGAGTGGATGTGAATCCTAATTAATCTTTTACTTTTCATATTCTTTTGATTTAAAAATCCTATGAACCGAATAAGCCCTAAGTTCTTTGACGCGGAGCTTGTGCGAAAAAAATTAACAGTATCGTTGTGCAAATAGGGGTGGGTGTTTGCTTCACTTGGTCTTATCATGAAAGCACTGTATCATTCGTTGTAATTGCTGATCCATGCTACTATTGCACTTCTCAACATCTTCATATAAGGGGAAGGAGAGGAGAACACAACAACATAAAAGACTACAAAATCAATTTAAATCTCTCCTTCAAATATGGGACTAATATTTAATTAGTTACCTTTTGTACTTGAGTTAAAACAAACGCACGCTATAATGATCGTTAATCAACCTGTAATTCCATAGATTGGCTCTAGTTGCTAGGGAGATGGACTATGAAGATCGATGTGGTTTTTGTATAGGTTTTATTGGCAAAACTTATGAGATGAGCACATGGGAGAACTCTAGATTAATGTAAGCACAAAACAAGCCGAGTAGTTGAGATGTAAACGCGACTAATTGAGATCCCCCGTAAGGTGACACCGATAGGTTGTGAGGCCCACATGTCAGTGAGCAGTACTGCACAAGCAGTACTGCAAATGACCTGTATCCAAACGCGACATGTGGACAGGGGAGCAGTGTCTAGCATATGTATGTATTATAGATTTTTAAATGTTGCACATAATGGTCTTTGATGTTCAATAAGTATTTTTATGATGTTTTATTATTTCATTTTACAAATTTTGCACCGATGTTATGTAAATGTTTTAGTATGCACTGGTAGAGAAATGGGCTTTACTCCCGGTTCGTAACCCCCCTGTAGTCCTGATTTTCTAACCGGGACTACGAATCCGGGACTAAAGATCGCTATCTTTAGTCCCGGGTGAAAAAATCGGAAGTAAAAATCTATTTTTAAGTCCCGGTTGGAGTTACCAACCGGGACTAAATATAGAGTATCTTTACCGGGACTAAAGAGGCTAGCTCAGGTTGCAACTTTATTCTATTCTTTTCTTCATTGTTTTTCATATATAGATTCATTATATCCCATCCCAAAATCCCAAATCAATCAACCCCGAATAGTCTCCAAATTCTCAAATCAATCTCTAAATACATAACAAAATCTTTAAAAAATTACATCACAACTTCTACAAAATTCATTACAAATACATCACATATTCACATCACACACAAATCAAATACATCACATATTCACATCACACACAAATCAAATACATCACATATTCACATCACACACAAATCGTCTCAGATCCGAATCACATATTTAAAAAAAGAAAGAAATAAAGGAAGAAGATGAACGGCCTGCAGCCGCGGCGGCGCGCCGCCTCGCCGGCCGCCGCCGCACCGCCCGCCGCGTCCCCGGATCTGCCGCCAGCCGCCAGCGTGCCAGCGCGCCGCCGTGCCGCCTCGCCCGGCCCTCTGTGTGCCGCGCCGCCGCACCGGCCGGCAGCCGCCGCGCGCTGCCCGCCGCGTCCCCGGCCGCCGCCGCGAGGCCGCCAGCCGCCAGCGCGCCGCCTAGCCCGGCCCTCCGCGCGCCACGCCGCCACGCTGGCCGACCGGGCCTATGCGCCCCGCCATTGCAGAGGGAGGTGGGGAGGAGGGAGAGGAGGAGAGGAAGGGAGGAGGGAGAGAAAGAGATAAGGGTGACTCTGTGAGGAGATGAGTTAAAAAAGGAGAGGAGGAGATTGTATTGGTCCAACCCGCGTGCAGCCACCCCGCTTATGTCGACTTTTTTCCCGGTTGGTGAGATCTTTAGTCCCGGTTGGTAACATCAACCGGGAGTAAAGCTTATATTGATCTTTTTTCCCAGTTGGTAACACCAACCGGGATTGTAAATAGATCTTGGACTAAAGATCAAAAAATTCATCAGAGCTTTCAAACTGGGACTAAAGATGTTTTTATTCCCGGTTTTTAATATAACCGGGACTATTGTGAAATCTGGTGGACCGACCAAAGATGGTTCCTCCACCAGTGATGATACTGCAGTTTTTATACTTTATTTGTTTCTCGTTTTATAAAGAATGTTTCGATATTTTTGTTTGTTTGATGTTTGGTCTTTTATCAATTAAAACAGTTTAACCATATCTTTTTTTTTCTTTCTTGGATCAAGCATCCGACGATCGAAGCTACGTTTTTTTCTCTTTTTTTTTTTAAAAAAAAAGAGGACGACTAGAGACGACACTGATAGAATTGTTGCAAGTTAGATGCTACAAAAGTGGAGATGGTTTTTCGTTTCTTGAGAGGATATTATCTCTCATTTCTTGCATGCCACTTAAATAAAACAAGTTCAAGTTTAAATTTGACTTCGATAAGTTATAATAAAAACAAATTAATTTTTTAGGACAAAAACAAATTAAATTGAAACTAGTTTTTTTTGCGGGGAAAATTGAAACTAGTTAATTAACGTGTGTATATTTGTTATAACTTGTAAAAGTTAAGGGTGTGTTTAGTTCTTTGGGTGTAAAGTTTTTTAAGTATACGGACACACATTTGAAGTATTAAACGTATACTAATAACAAAACAAATTACTGATTCCGCATGTAAACTGGGAGACGAATTTATTAAGCCTAATTAATCCGTCATTAGCAAATGTTTATTGTAGCATCACATTGTCAAATCATTGCGTAATTAGGCTAAAAAGATTCATCTCGCAATTTACATCCAAACTGTGCAATTGATTTTTTTCCCACATTTAATGCCCCATACATGTGTTAAATATTTGATGTGACGTTTTTAGCCAAGATTTTTTTTATCTAAACAAGGCCTAAATTAATTTTAACTTACATGTTTGCATAGTGATATACTCACTCTGTTTCACAATGTAAGTCATTCTAGCATTTCCTATATTTATATTGATGTTAATGAATCTAGATATCTACTTACATTGTGAAACGGATGAAGCATGTATCTTTTACTAATCTATCTTACCAGTTTTTTTAAAAAATATTTTAATTACTATTTAGATTACATGAAAAAAGAGGTGATATATAAATCTCAACAGATGAAAACACTACTACTGTCCCACGAAAGCAACTGATTAACCCAAAAATAAGAGACCGGATCGGAGACGGCGCCGCGCGGTGCTACGTACGTGACCGAGTCCGAGAGTGACTCCACTCATCGTAACGCCTACATACTATCCTCCGTGCTTATATACTTCGATGCACGTGCGCCCGACCTCTTCGGCTCTTCCTCGTGTTACCCAACTGACACGCTCGTGAAAGGCCTCGCTCACTAATCACTATGGAGCCGGAGGAGGAGGAGGAGGAACCAAACATGTACAACTCGGAGGCCGGGGAGGAGAACCACGTCGGCGGCTTCTACGAGTGCACGGGCCTCCCTCGCGACGCGGATGGGTTCGTCGCCGCCGTCCACGAGGTGAACCCGGTGCAGTTCCTCGCCGGCGTCTTCCGCTACCTGGGCGAGGACATGGCGGGCGAGCTGCTCCGCTCCGACGACGACGACGTGCTGCACTGCCCGAGCATCGCCGCCTCTTCCTCGCCGGAGGAGCTCCTCGCCTGTGCCGCCCGCGCCTACACCGGCCGCGACCGGGAGCGATGCGGTGGCAGCGTCGTGGAGCACTTGTACATGATCTGCTCCTGCTTCTGCCCGCACGCGGCGACGACGGCGGCTCATGTGTCGGCGCCCGTCGTCGCCGGCGCTGATCACGTCCCGGCCCCGTGCGACGACAACGGTGTCGACCTGGCTTTTACGCAGGACGAGTTGACCGCGGCGGCGGTGACCGTGGGCGAAGTGGACGAGGACGAGGTGGCCGTGGCGGCGGCGGCGGCGACAGTGGACGCGGCCGTAGACGAGATCGTCCTGAATGCACTGGGATTCAATGAGTTTGCTCGCGACCTGAAGGAGACCATCGAAGCAAAGGATCGTGAGGACGCGTTGCGCGCGGAGGGCTCGTCAGTTTCTCCCGGCGTTCGTCCACCGGTGTAGCCGCGTCCGCGTTCGTGTTGTCGTGTGACATGTTTCCGCCCTTACGAATCGGTGTCGTAATAGCTGTGGATTTTTTCTGGACGTCCGGAGTTGGAGGTGTATGCTGTAGTACGTAATACTTCAGTTAACGTTTTGCACAAAAGTTTTGCGCTTTGGATAATTGAATAGTTATCCAACCTAGGTCTGCTTATAATCCATCACCAATATAGGTCTGCTTGTAGTCCTTCACCAACACAGATATGATGGTTCGTGCCCTATCAAACATTCTTTTCCTTGCAAGCTAACTATACTACTCTCTTTGATTAAAACAATGATGTTTAACCCCTATTAAAACTCTTAAAACGTTCACTATTAACTTATCTAAAAAATACTTAGCTCCAAAACATAAAAAAAAAGATGGGTATATTTATTTTGATTTTGTAAGCTTAGTGGATCTTATAAATTTAACTTTTCAATAGAAAATTATTGTCAAAGTCACATATAAAAATACCTTAAAAGAGTTAAACGAGCTGTAGTACCTCCATTATGAAAATTCACATTTATGACAAGTGGTTTGAAATTCCCTAAGAAAATATTGTTGTATTGGATGATTACATATGTAGAAAATTGTTTTTGTTTCTCACGATGTGACTTTGTGGCTCATGTTTTACGAGATTCATCTCTCTCTCTCTTGTATGCACGAGCAAATCAAGTCGCGCACATGGCTGGCCCACCAAGGCCCACGTCACGCTCTACGCAGTGAAACAATTCAGTCGGCCACGTGCCCACATGTGGACCCCAGACTCATGTGATTGCGTTTCTCCCGTGCGATCGTGCTAGAATTTTTATGTTTTTTCACCTATTTTTATTACTGACTTTATTTTAATTTCCCCTATAAAAACATACAAATAATAAAATTTATTGTTGTTTTAAGCCTTTGTTGAAAAAAGTGGCTTCATGTTTACTTACTACAGTAATTTGATTGTAAAGTTTTAAATTTAAGTTGAAAATTTTATTAAGTTGGTTGAAGGTTTTCAAATTTGAGTTAAAAGTTTTGAATTTTAAGTTAAAAGATTTCAAATCTTCAGTTGAAAGTTTTCGAATCCAAGTTGAAAATTTTAAATCTGAATTTAAAAATCTTCAAATCCAAGCTGAAAATTTTCAATTCTGAGTTGAAAAGGTTTTAAATATAAGTTGGAAGTTTATAAATCTTCACTTGAAAATTTTTAAATCTAAATTGAAAGTTTTCTAATATAAGTTTAAACTTTTAAATATGAACTTAATAGTTTTCAAATCTAAGTTGAAATGATTTCAAAATTTCAAAATTTGATTCAGTAAAAAAAAGAAAGGATAATAGAAAAAAGACGTGTGCGGGGAATTTTTTTAGAAAAAAAAATAAAAAGTAAAAAACCAAGAGACACACGCGGGAGGTTAGCGAGAAACGCATAACAAAAGTGGGTCCACCACTTTCTTTCACCCCGTGCAATATTTCCAAAAAATGGTGCGTACGCAGTTACGCACCAATTAGCCACACCCTAGGTTCTATCATAAATCACGATACAATCTTATTCTTCTTTGCTCGAGATTTGTGATAGAGCACACATCACAATAAAAATTGACGCTTTCTTAAAACAAAAAAACCTCAGGTTTGACTCCCGCTCAGGCGCCCGATGGGAGGAGGTTAAAATCGGGCGCTGACGGCAGCGTTCGATTTACGTGCAAAACTACTTTAAACTGATTTTTCTCTTAAATTACTTATCCAAATCATGATCCGGTTGCACCATTAAATTCGTTGTAATTAAATCTTCGAAACAAGGCCACTCCTAGATATATTCCAAAAAAAAATTAGCTTATTATTGAATTATTTTTAAAGGTTGCACGATATTCCATTAGGTATATTGGAATTGTTTCACTAAGTAGATCGAAAATGTTTCACTCGTTTAAATTAGATGTTGTTTCACCTTATATAAAAACAATGTTTCAGCAAATAGCGAAAGAATGTTTCAGTTCATTGCAACATTAGATCTATACATAGTGAAACATTGTGGTACACTAGGTGAAACATTTTTCAGTGGAACAAAAAAAATAAACCAAATTCCCTTAATAAGGAGTTTCCAAAATATGTGGGGGTTTTTTTGCAATGGAAGGTTTCGTTCACTGCAACATTAGATCTATGTCATAGTAAAACATTGTAAGTACACTAGGTGAAACATCTTTTGTGGAATAAAGATGATGGATAAGTGGGTGGGCCAAACAGGTGCTCACGTGGGGGAGGGCGAGCGATCGATTTTCCCACCTCCCCGGTAGACCGATGCTGGGCATTCTCCGGTTTTATCACAAATCGCGGTACAATTTTTCTTTGTGTTTGCTTGAGATTTGTAATAGAGCACATGTCACAAGAAAAAAAATGACGCTTTCTTAGAACAACAACATAACAAAAAAACAAAAACCCATCCAAAGCTTAAGCCCACGGACGCGGTGCGAGTGTGCGACGAGCCCAGAGAGGCAAACCAAACGTCCAAACCTCCGCACGGCGCCGCCGCACGATGCCCCCGGCGCCACCGTTCTCCTCCCACGGCGACTTCGTCGCCGCCCTCCACCGCTGCGCCACCCTCGCGCACCTCAAGCAGCTCCATGCTCACGCCGTCGTCACCGGCCGCGCCGCCGCGCAGACCACCACCTTCCACCTCCTCCGGTTCGCCTCCCTCCGCCTCTCCTGCCTCCCCTACGCCCGCCGCCTCTTCGACGCCACGCCCAGCCCCAACGTCTTCCTCTACTCCGCCATGCTCTCCGCCTACGCCGCCGCCTCCTCCCACTCGCAGGAACACGCCCGGGACTCCCTCGCGCTCTTCCTCCGCATGCTCCGCCGCGGCCGACCCGCGCCCAACCAGTTCGTCTACCCGCTCGTCCTCCGCGCCGCCTGCGCCATTGGGGTCCAGCTGGTCAGGTCGATCCATTGCCACGCCTGCAAGGACGGGTTCTACGGGCACGATTTTATAAGGACCTCGCTCCTCGATGGGTACTCGAGGTACGGGATGATGGGCGACGCGCGGAAGCTGTTCGATGGTTTGACTGATAGGAACGTGGTCTCCTGGACCGCGCTGGTGTCCGGGTATGCAAGGGCAGGGAAGGTTGGGGATGCGATAGTGTTGTTCGAACGGATGCCTCAGAGGGATGTGCCTGCCTGGAATGCGATCATTGCCGGATGCACACAGAATGGGTTGTTTGTGGAGGCAGTGGGGATTTTCAGGAGGATGGTTGATGAGGGGTTCCGGCCAAATGGCACCACAGTATCTTGTTTGCTGTCTGCGTGCGGACATTTAGGGATGCTGAAGATTGGAAAGGTGATCCATGGTTATGCGTGGAGGAGCTGTGTTGGTTTTGGCTCATCCGTTGTGAATGGGTTGATTGATATGTATGGTAAATGTGGGAATTTGATGGAGGCAAAATGGATCTTTGATGCGTTTTCTGATAGGGGTCTGACCACATGGAATTCTCTGATCAATTGCCTTGCACTACATGGGTGCAGCGAGAGTGCCATTGCGGTGTTTAATTCGATGAGGAATGAAGGGGTTCAACCTGATGAGGTTACTTTTGTTGGGCTGTTGAATGCATGCACCCATGGAGGGTTTGTTGATGAAGGTCTTAGATACTTTGAACTGATGTGTGATGAGCATGGAATTGAGCCAGAGATTGAGCATTATGGTTGTGTTGTAGATCTTCTTTGTCGAGCAGGACGGTTTCAGGATGCGATGAATTTTATCAATGATATGAAAGTTCAACCAGACGAAGTCATTTGGGGGTCATTACTCAATGCCTGTAGAATACACAGACACCTAGAACTGGCCGAGCATGCTATAAGAAACTTGTTGGATTTGAATCCAAGTAATGCTAATTATGTAGTGATGCTTGCAAACTTATACAGTGAAGGTGGCTTCTGGGAAGAGGTTAGGAAAGTAAGGAAGCTCATGAAGGAGGATGTTACAGGCAAGAAGCTGCCTGGTTGTAGCTGGATTGAGGTTGATCGCAAAACTCGCCGGTTTTATTCTGGTGATGATGGTCACCCTGAGTCAGAGGATATCTATGACACTCTTGATAAGTTAGCTACCACAATGGAAATGCAGGCTACATTTGCATAGATTAATAATTCATATTCAAAAATCAGCATCTTCTAATTCTGTACATGACTGAAACTGTTGACCTAGGCAGCATTATGCTGGTAGATAGATGGTCGTGTTCCCTTAAACACTTACCCTGAGCTATTTATGGCTGAGGTACTGCTTATATGCCACTACTGGGGTGTACTTCTACAGGATTTATCCATTGTAATGCTGTTATCTTTGCATATCATGAAGGTATGTGTATATTATGGATGGCCGAATATGCTTCTGCTTACTCCCATTTTGTATCCCACACCTGGTGATCTTTTTTCTTAATTCTGTCTTCAGTGCTGCCACTGTGTTTCCCTTGGTTCGGAAGTAACAAACTGTCCTATCTGGCATGTAATACCTGCTGCTGCTCAACCATTATAGGTATGGATAACACCTCTATGTCGGTATACCATGACCAACCTTTGTTTTATGGTCCAGTCTTCACAAAATCTACGCTCGCTGATAATTTGTTGTCAAATGTCAACAGGGCATATTCTTGTTCTTTTTCCCCCTCTTGTACAGGAGCACCAAAGTAAAGGAGACATAAGCTAAAGATGGAGTGAAGAACAGATGATAAAGAGTTTTCTATAAACTACCATTTTTATCTGTTATGCAGGTAATTTTATATTAATTCAATTTGTGGAGAACCCTTGCAAAATGCTTTCATTATCAAGTACTTTGGACTTTTGAGCCTGGACTAACGAAAAGCATTACATTAACAGCTGGAATAGCTGGTTGAGACTTGAGACGAGGGATATACGGAAAGCTGCAATCAGTTGCATATTGGCCTCTCATTATCATGTATGATTGTAGGAGCATGGTTCAAAGAATATGTTCTGCTCCTTATCTGCTTTGCAGTAAGACCAATACACATTTTATCATTTTATCTTCCATATCTTATCTCGGTTTCTCTTGATTTGCTCTCATGTCCACCATTTCCTCCCTCCAATTCAAAGCTTCTTCTTGTTTAAACTTATTATGTAATTCGTTCTAAATTGGTGGGTTCTCAATCTATCATCTTTTTATCCTGTCTCTGCAAGGTGCAAAAAGGTGATTCTTTGAAAGAAGATTCTGGGTACGGAGGGAATTGCGACTGACGAGATGCTTACAGTTCATCTGCTCATGTGATGTGTCACATGGCAGAAAACATGGAGAAATGAGCGCCATACGTTGCCATGCTGCGATTCTAGAGATCCAGTCATCCAGACAGTGGAAAGGGGGGTCGTAAAGGATGGCGCAGATTATAGAATAACCATACAGAGTACAATTGAAATGGACCAACGATGAAAGGAAGGAAATCTGAGAATAAATTCCAGTGCAGTGCCAGTGTCAGTTTCCCGGTGCCATGCCTGACCATGTAAATTGCGATCCGTATGACTATCCAAAAGAATGGCAATGGCTGTAGTCCTCCGAATTTAGTGAGTTGAAAGTGACTTGTGAGACTAAATAAAATATAAGCGACTGGCAATGGCTTTGATCCTGTAGCCACTAGCCAGCGATAACTGATAAGTGCAGTAATGTCTCAGACAATTTTTAGGGCGAGAACTTTTATGGTACAATGTACTGCTAGTATATACTATAAGTATATATGATCTAACGGTGTAGATTGATTTGATTTTTTAGTTAATTAGATTGCAGTATAAAGTTTGAAAGGGTAATTTTGTCTTTTCTTTGTTATTCTATCATCAAATCATGCTATCGTTACGTCCTTCGTCATCCAGGACCAGGTACTCCCAATTAGATTCAATCTGAACAGAAAATTACTAAAGAGTTATTTTATTTTCTATCAAATTCCTAATATGCCCTTCTATATACTGTCAGTATATACTGGTAGTATATTGTACCGTAAAAGTTCTCTCGACGAGCGATGACAGTGGATCGAAGATTGGCCGAATATGCCATGTTTGACAGTGGATCGAAGATTGGCCGAATATGCCATGTTTTTGGAAGATTTACTCCTTCTGATGTTCCAAAGAAGGGCGCCCTTGGCATGCATGTCAGTGCTAGGGTATGCTTAGAAGAGCTTCCGGCGGCTGTATCTTATAATCACAAGTTTCCTCAAACAACCTAGTTTTTCATCCAAATTTGGAGAAATTACGGAATCCAAAAAATAAAAGCAAGTTTTTACAGCCTTTTTAGGTTCTTACCAACTTCTTCTAAGAATCTTAGAACTTGTTTGGCAGAGCTCTAGCTCCAGCTCCATCTTTCCTATAGCTGGAGTCCAACCAAACGATTTCAGCTCTACCCAAAAAGGGATCCATCTTTCTTATAGCTGGAGTCCAACCAAACGATTTCAGCTCTACCCAAAAAGGGAGTGGAGCTGACTAGAGTACTCTCGTAAAAATGAACTAGAGAGGTGAAACTGGATTTACGCAGCTCGACAACTCCACTACAGACCCAACTTCTAAAGTTAAATTTAGAAGTTGAAGCTCTACCAAATGGGACCTTAAACTCCCATAAACATGTCCTAAGCTTAGAATCTAAAACTCCTTCAAATGTCCAAAAAAAATCTAATCGTGGGAATCTAGGATTAAGTTTTTTTATGAGACAGAATGAGTATGTGCCTCTAAAATCTCTTTAGGGGAAGAATTTTTTTAAAAAATAAAAGAACCGGAGGACTGCCAATAACATTACAAAGATAGCTTGCATGTACTCCTTCCGTATATGTGCATAGCTAGAAATAAGGTCTTTTAGGGAGTTATGCTTTGAGATTATTTGGTGACCTACGATTTACAATTTTCATTGCATTTTGTAGAGGTCATGCACGCTTATATACAGTGGTGTGAATGTGGCATGTGTGTTAAGTATATGCATCCAATTATACTCTCTTGAAAAAAGAATCATTTTTAGGAAGAGTACAACCTATGCCCTACAACAATTGAAGCTTGAATCAATATATTTTGTCTCCTACATTCTTAATTAATCGGAGCATGATCAGGGCATCAGTAGCAGGTAATACCTAAAAGGGTACTAGTGATGACTGATGAGGTCCACATGAACTAGTAAGTTAAAATTATCATGTACTAACACAATGTTAAGTACAAGGACCACCAAGAGGTTGAGACTTACCAGTGAGGTTTAAAAGATCCCATCATATAACTATTAATTTGGAGACGTTTCACATATACTTGAAAGTTGCCTAAGTGTGACAAATGATTGGCATTTCCTTTTTAAGTCTTTAAGTCTAAATACCTCAAGTAGCTTTCAAGCGCCATAAAAAATCACGGGTGGAACGAGTTAAGAACTAACCTAGCCTGGAGTTCCTCCATGACCTTATCACTCCAAGACAGAACGACAAGGCGATCATTTCAAATTCTAATATCATGAGCCTAGCCTCCCTCCGGTTTCATTTTAATTGACGTTTTGAACAATGACACGGTCTACAAGATATATTTTTGACCTTATTTTTCTATTATAATATATATAATAAATAAATACATATTTATTTTTATTATAGTGCTTTAAAAGACAAATCTATATATGTTGTTCTAGTTCCTTTAAACTAAATATTTTTAAAGTTATTGATGGTTAAAGTTATAAAAGTTTGACCTTAACCTTGTCCAAAACGTTAATTAATATGGAACCAAAGGAGTATCAATACTAATATCTCCTTTGGAAACATGAATTTTTCTCTCAATTCACGCGATCATTGATCTAATTCATTAATAAAATCACATACAACTTCGATAAATTTGTTCATTCTAAGGGTCCCTTTGAAACATAGGAATTTCAAATAATTTGGAACGAAATGTATCAATTCCTATAAAAATCCTATAAAATTAAATAGGGGGAAAAACTTTGCTTCCATTATTTGAGAGTGCACCAAACTGGCACATATCTCTGCTCCTGTACCGGTCCAAAGTCAAACGTTAATACGTTATATGCATTCTCCTAGCAGTCGCCTATACATTACTGAACACGCATTCGGGAAGTACAAAAAAAAATCATATAAGTGGTGTACAAACTACAAATACCACAGTTGTCAACCTTTTATTTATTATTACGTATGGTTTTTTTTTTCAACCTGATAGCAAACACGGGCTCTCTCCTCATGTGGTCACCCGATCATTGACAAAGAAAGGTAGATTATACCCGTTTCCAGTTTTTCCACCTGACAATTATATCACACATGATACTTTGTTGTACAAAGCAAAGCTCTACTTGAGAGTTGAGATAAAGGGATTTTTGCTAAGATTTTGTGTAAATTTATATCAAATCTTAGTCAAATCCCCTGTTCCAAACAGATGATCTCAGATAAAAAATACTACTATCTTTTTCTTCCTATTATACAATCACGAAACCTGCAGCATCAGATCAACCTTGAAAAACGCTTATATGCATTTCGTTCGATCGATGATGCTGCATGTATGTACTACTAGCTCAGCTCCTCCGGTTCCACTAGACATGGCCTCCCATCTCGGCGGCGACCTGCGTGCCGTGCGCCGACTTGAGCATGAACCCGCCGACGCTGCGGTCCGGCTTGCCGCTCGCGTCGTCGTCGTGGTACGCGTACGCGAACCCGCCGTGGCGCGTCTGGTCCATGCCGGCCATCTCGTCCTCGGCCGAGATGCGCAGCAAGCCCAGCTTGTTGAGCACCAGGAACAGCGGCGCCATGGTGAAGCTCACCCACGCCGCGATGACCAGGATGACCACTATGTGCGCCCCGAGCAGCCGGCCGCCGCCGCCCATGAACAGCCCGTACGGGCGCCCGGGCTGGCCGAAGATCTGGTCCACGTACTCCTTGCGCGCGAACAGCGCCGTGAAGATGACCCCCCACGCGCCGCACCCGCCGTGCAGCTGCGCCGCCTCGAGCGGGTCGTCGAACTTGAGCCTCGCCGCCAGCGCGTTGAGGCCGATGAGCACCCACGCCGAGACGAACCCGCAGATGATCGCGGCCCACGGGTCGACGACGGAGCAACCGGCGGTGATCGCCGCGAAGCCGCCGAGGAGGCCGTTGCAGACGTCGATCACGTTCCAGTGCCCCGTCTGGAGCCTCTTCCCGAAGAGCGTCGTGAGCGCCGCCGTGCTGCCGGCGAGGGTGGTGGTCACGGCGGTGCGTCCCACCGCCGACCACTGCCCGTGGATGCTACCGGGCGGGCCGTAGGATTTGAGGATGGTGAGGAACGAGCCGGGGTTAAACCCGTACCACCCGAACCACAGAAGGAAGCTGCCGAGCACGACGAGCGACGCGCTGTGGCCGCGCAGCGCCACCGAGCGGCCGGCGTGGTCGAACCGCCCAATGCGGGGGCCCTCGATGAGGGCGCCCCAGAGTCCGGCCACGCCGCCCACCATGTGGACAACCCCTGACCCGGCGAAGTCGATGACGCCGGACCCGAAGAGCAGCGACCCCGACGTCCGGGAAGCCGAGGCCCACCCGTCGGCGGACCAGATCCAGTGGGACACCACCGGGTAGACGAAGCCGGTGAGGAAGGCGGAGTAGATGAGGTACGCCACGAACTGGGTCCGCTCGGCGATGGAGCCGGACGTGATGCCCGCGGCGGCGATGGCGAAGGCCCACTGGAAGAGGAAGAAGCTGTAGTCGAAGCCGACCTGTGGGACCTGCTTGAGGCCGAAGAAGTGCTTCCCGATGAAGCCGTTGGACGGCGCCCCGAAGGCGAAGGCGAAGCCGAAGAGGTAGTAGAAGAGCGCGCCGGCGGCGGCGTCGAGCACGTTGGTAAGCATGATGTTCATGGTGTTCTTGGCGCGGACGGACCCGGCGCAGAGCATGGCGAAGCCGAGCTGCATGGCGAACACGAGGTACGCCGAGAAGAGCAGGTACGTCGAGTCCACGGCCGACGTCGTGTCCGCGAACTGGTTGCACAGGTAGTCCGTCGCGTTCGCCGCCGCCGTGCCCAGCAGCGGGCCGAGGGTATCCGCGCACGTTGCCATCCTCGCCGCCTCGACGCGCGCTCAACACAGACTGTAGAGGAGAGGGGAGGAGCAATGGAAGTGTGGGCTGTGGGTGGAGTGGGGAGCGGCCGCGTCGGATTTATAGGCGACGTGGAGAGGGAGCGAGAAGGAATCCATGACTTGGGGGGTGTCGTTGTTGATTCCTTCAAAGTGTGAAGGGCCCACCTGCCAGTGAATCTTTGGCTACCTCTGAAATGTGGGACCCCTATGATTTGCTTGTTGATTTGTCCCCCTCCTGTTCGTGGTCGTAGTTCATCGAATCCCGTGGAATCTCTCTATAGGCCTACTGTAGGCTGCGGCCTGGAGGCTGTGTTTAGTTTTTTGATATAAAGTTTTTGAAGTACACGCATACATATTTTGAAGTATTAAATATAGACTAATAATAAAATAAATTATAGATTCTGCTTATAAATTGCGAGATGAATTTATTAAGCCTAATCAATATGTCATTAGTAAATGTTTACTATAGCATCACATGGTCAAATCATGACGTAATTAGACTCAAAAGATTTGTCTCGCAATCCCATATTTAATGCCTTATGCATGTGTCCAAACATTTGATGTGATATTTTTGGCTAAAATTTTCTGGGATCTAAACAACGCCTGAGTCGCAATACAGTGGTTTGTACTTTCTTTTAAAAAGTAAAAACGACTGTTTGTACATTTCGTCCTCCTCTATATTTGTCTATAGTGAAGCACTTGTTATATTTCCTCCTCTGTTTGTACTTAAACTTTCTTTACTTTTTTAACAATATTATTTTTATTATATTTCCACTTGTAACACTTGGAAATATTTTATAATTTCTAAATCTAATTGGTTCACCATGTTTCTAAAGAAAATTTTGGTTGCACGAAAAGACACACATGAATATGTTAACCAAAACACATGAAATCCTTCAAGCTTTCTGAGTGGTACTATCTCCATTTCAAAACATATGAATTTCTAAGGCCCTGTTTGTTTCAGTTTAAGATTATTATAATATATATTATTGAGCTAGATTACTATAAACTGAATTATAATAAGATTATAATAAACCGATATAGAATAAGTTGTTAGCTGTTTGTTTATCTGGATTATTAGCTGTTTGCTAGTTATTAGCTATCCAATAATTAAAAAAAGCACCTTTAGAGTGGATTACCAGATTATAGTAATCTGGCTTATAGATTATAATAATCTATCATAATAAGTTATCTGTTTGTTTCAGCTTACTCCTAATAATAATCAGATTATAATAATTCTAAGTGGAATCAAACAAGGCCTAAATTGTTTAACAAACATTGAGGTTAGGTCATAGTCTTTTTTTACTTTAGTATAGTTAATTTTTTGAATTTTGAATTGCTTGGATTCCCTAAACCCTTCCAAGCATATGATTAGCTATGAAATCATTGAGATAATCGGAATGATGGAAACTACTACTTATATTGTGATGCAATTGAATTCTAAAAATCCTTATATTTTGGTATTCATGGAGTACTTTTGAAGCTTTCACCAAAACACAGGGCTACGAATTGAACCCAATGATTAATGTTGTGTTTTTCCTGTAACTCTACCATCATGTAATGATTGTCGCTCTGCCTTTTTAAGCGGCTGGTGCTGGTTGAACGGGAAAGTATTTTCTGAACCTAGGTGAGCTGCACCTAGGCTCATTACCGCTAGATGCGCCTCAAGATTCGGACGTACACGATACCCACCTGCTATATGTGAGAAACCTGAGAAATCATCACGAATCGCTTAATCGATCGGGCGGCAGACGCCCTAGGTGCAGCTGCACCTAGGTGTAGAAAAACCGCGTCCCTGTTGAACATGTACTCCCTCTGTTTTTTAATAGATGACGCTGTTGACTTTTTCTCACATGTTTGATCATTTATTTTATTCAAAAAAATTTACGTAATTATAATTTATTTTGTTATGAGTTGTTTTATCACTTATAATACTTTAAGTGTGACTTATATCTTATATATTTGTATAAAATTTTTGAATAAGACGAATGATCAAACACGTGAGAAAAAGTCAACGGCGTCATATATTAAAAAACGGAGGTAGTATTATCGTTCATGGTACTTCTCTACCCACCTGAAATTTTCGTTGTCTATCATCGAAGAAGATCAGCCGTTGCACCTCATGCTCAAAGTGCAGGTGCTCGCGAAAAAGTCCAGCACGAGAATTCCTGGAAATCTTTTATAGGAGTACGTACTTCTCTAACTGTCAAGCTAACCTGTACAAGTGTGCACCACCCAAGTAAATAAGCCATCGCAGCTATCTCCCATTTTGCACCGGACTTTTGGAAACCACAGATCAACGTATCTCCTCATTGGCACACCACCTGTCGATAGGCAGCTCACGCACGACGATGCGACCATCGTGCCGACCGCGAGACCACGGCGAGAGGCATAAAAACAACCGATCCCGAGATGGGCAGGCATATCGGCGTACGCACGCAGCCCGGTGAGACCCGCCGCAGTTGGAGCGCGCATCGCCATCGCCGCGAGCCCGCGAAGTCCACGGCGCCCTCGTCGGCGGAACACCCCAGTTGCTGACGAGACTGACAGGTGACAGCCGAGACAGCCAGAAAAGAAAAACGAAGCCGGCTGTACTAACGACATCAAAAAGAAATGGGAGCCCCGTCTGTTTCAGACGTAATGGCAATGGTAATACTAATTAGTAATAAGATAAGCTCCCAGTTGACGCTCCACAACTAGCCAATTTCCATTTCGCATGTTCGATTATTCCCCCTGACCTCCATGCCATCCAGTGTGCATCTTCCGTGTCCCGAAGAGCTGCTCCCGAGTAAACTATGCCTGAATCCAGAGTCCGGAAACACATATGCGGTGTCTGGATCTGCCGTTGACTTGTGGATTGTGATTAAGGAAGTGTTCTCCTCTCTGTTTTTCGTCTGACATCACCGTCCTGCTGCCGATTATAGTATTTTGAGTTTACAGTGGATTTGGCCTCTCCCCTCATTTGCTGAATCTTATGAAAATGTTTTAGCTGTTTGCTCCTGACAGAATAGTGTGACCTATCATGTGAAACGCGAGCGCAATTGTACTGTACTATCATGTGAAACGGAGTATTTCCGATTTCAAACCGTATTACCTGCCAACCGTTTCATGGTGTCAGGGGTACGCGATCCGAGGAGGTCGTATATTGTACTCATTGAGCACTAGTTTGGCGTATCGTAACGTTGAGCTTCATTTAGAAATCAGAATGTACAGAAAAAAAGAGTTCGCTGCCTGTGATTCAGTTCTGAATCTGATCGAGCTCACCTGCATCTGTGCTCGAGCGTTGGTTCGTTTCGTAATTTATTGCAGCTTGAATTTTGATGACAGCTGTTACTGTTTCTGGACCCTTCGAGATGGCGATTGCTCGAGCTCGCTACGTCAACAGGAGGGCCGTTGAATTTACCCATTTTCCACGCTTGCGTACGTACGTTGCGGCGGAGGAATCGGCTTGCTCTTGTTTTCTTTTTTAAAAAAACGCAGATATATTGTTTTTTTACTCCGTACCTCTGATCCAACTAACCGTATGCTGTATAGTGTATATACAGTTCTTATCTTAATCAGGAACACGGAAATGTCGCCGTCGTGATAGGGGGGGCCGAGAAATCGAAATGCTCGAGAGGTGGGGGTGGTACGTCGTGTGGTACCGTGCTGTATTGTTTTTAGTTTTCCACGTTCTCATGATCGCCTCCTGGGCAGCCGGCTTCTATCTGTGGAGGAAGCACCACGGAGAGGAGCGGAGAGGGAGGGCGCGGATCATCAACGGCGAGCCGCGAGCCGCACGGGAAGCGCGGCACATGCAGATGTAGGCAATGGCGCACGGCGGCGCGGCCTGAAGCCCTGAACCGCGCGGAGAACGACGCTCTCCGTCTCTCCGAGTCCCTTCCGTGCGAGAAGCCACTACCGCACGGTGCGCGCGGGGATGCAGCCATGCAGGACGAACGGGGCGCGCGGGGGAGTGCAGGCCGCAGTCCGCAGTCCGCAGGGCAAGCGGTCATAATAGGCCGTTCGCAGAAGCGTAAGGAAGGCCTTTCATGGCTCATCTGTCACTTGGGGGTTGGGCGGCTGGGCCTACTTTGCGATTGGGCCTCAGCCATACGTTCCTTAGCGGAAAAAGTACACCAAAGGTCCCTCAGCTTGTCATCGGGATAGAAAAACGTCCTCGAACCACAAAACCAGATATGCGGGGTCTCTTAACTATACAAAACCGATCACGCGAGGTCCTTCGGTGATTTTGATTCCGATTTTAGTCTATGTGGCAGCTGAGTCAGCGTGGGACCCACGTGGGTCCCACATGTCAGACTGTCCACGTCATCTCTCTCTTTCCCATCTTCTCTCCCTTTCTCCTCTCCATCACTCTCTTGTTAGGGACTCTGGTCAGGCCGACAGCCGATCGATGGGTGTGGAGGAGGGGGCTGAGGCGCAGCTGTTGCGACGTGGTAAATTGCTCGGCTACCTAGCGACGGCGGGAGCAGGGGGTGCGGAGTGGCGTCGGCATTGCGCGGGGAGGCTGGTGCGGCGCGTGAAGGTGCTATCGGCGGGCCGACGCAGTGCGTGAAGACGTGGTCGACAGCGACAAGAGGCCAGCTTGGCTAGGAGGTACAGCCGGCGACTGTGCGGAGAGCGGGTGGACGCGGGAGGCACAACTACAGGGGGCGTCGGTGGAGCAGTGTCCACGCGTCAATGGAGGATGGTTGATGGTGGAGCAATAGAGCGTTAGCTATGGATCTACAAGGGAAGAGCGACCCAGTGTAAACCTAGCCCGATCTTGGCCGGGCCACCAACGATGGCGCTTTGGGCGTCGTCTTCCCTCTCAGAAGTGTTGTCGAGCCATCCTCTTCCTCTAACTAGGCTGCCGCGTGAAAACCCTGTCTTGGTTCTCTCTAAGACCTTGATGGAGAGGAGCAGCGGTGCTCATCGTCGCTCTTCTCCCTAGAGATGTCGTCTAGGAAGGTCCCTTGCCAAAACTCCTCTTAGGCAGCTGGTGCATGCTCGCTCTAGATGTCTTGTGCTCTTGTGACGATGCTCTAGGTTATGCAAGTCGACCACGTTGGCGGGCCCTAGGAGGGAGAGTAGTTCCTTCTTCTCTCTCACCCTCTCCCTCTCAATCTCAAATACATGGCTAGAATTGAGATCGGTGGTCAACCGTAGGGCTTGGTTTTGGGCGGTCTTAGCTGTAGTTTGCTTGTTGGTCTAGTGGCGACCAATCACGCTTTGCGATGGTCGGTCCAGTGCAAGCTTTCTCCTGAACTATGTGTATTTGTTGTTAGTGCGTGGTGGTGAAATTTTTTTCTTCCCTTTCCTGGCTACTGTCTTCCAAGATACTAGCCTTGTACTACTATTCAACGAATCATCGTGTTGTCTGGTGGTGCTGATCGTTAAAAAAAAAACTTGTAGTACTACTATAGCAGTAGTCTAGTACAAGCTAGTTTCTCCATAGGAGGATACTTTGGACCATCTCGCAGCGATTCTCCCAAATGGCATATGCCGAGCTCCACGTTAACATCATAATGACCTAAATACTGATACAAACAGGACACGTCTAAACATGTACAAGAAAGCCACAAAAATCCATACAGGTGCAAATGCAGAGAAGAAAGGAAGCAAATATCAAAAGAAAGCCACAACCACCATGGGCTGAAGTGCCACCACGCCCACACGACTGCCTCAGCTTATATATGCACACTTCACAAAACACTTTCCCCAAACGGACACGATCGATATGATCCTACTACACAAACTGGCCCGCCGCGGCTTGCTCCGGCGACTTTCTGGGCTCCACGCGAGCCGTCTCCGCCGCCGACTTGGCCCTGACGCGGCGCTCGCCTTCGTCCTCGTCCACGTACCCGAACCCGCCGTGGCACGTCGGGTCCATGCCTTCCATCTCTGTCGCGGGCGAGACGCGGAGCAGCCCGAACCTGTGCAGCACGTAGAAGAGCGTCCCCATGGTGGCGCTGACCCACCCGACGATCACCAGGATCTGCACGATGTGCGCCGCGAGAAGCCTCCCGCCGCCGCCCATGAACAGCCCGTACGGCCTCCCCGGCACCCCGTAGATCAGCTCGACGTACTCCCTGCGCGCGAACAGCGCGGTGAAGATGATCCCCCACGCGCCGCACCCGGCGTGCAGCTGCGTCGCCTCCAGCGGGTCGTCGAACTTGAGAATCAGCGACAGCTTGTTGCAGCCGATGAGGACCCACGCCGACACGAACCCGCAGATCACCGACGCCCACGGGTCGACCACGGAGCAGCCCGCGGTGATCGCGGCGAAGCCGCCGAGGAGACCGTTGCAGACGTCGGTCACGTTCCAGTGCCCCGTCAGCCATCTCTTGCCGTAGAGCGTCGTCAGCGCGGCGACGCTCCCCGCCAGCGACGTCGTCACGGCGGTGCGGCCCACCGCCGACCACTGCCCGTCGATCGTGCCCGACTCGCCGTAGATCTTGGAGATGGTGGTGAAGGACCCCGGGTTGAAGCCGAACCACCCGAACCACAGCAGGAAGGTGCCGAGCACGACCAGTGAGGCGCTGTGCCCTTTCATCGCCACCGTGCGGCCGGCGGCGTCGAACCGCCCGATGCGAGGGCCCTCGATGAAGGCACCCCACAGGCCAGCAATGCCACCGACCAGATGGACGACGCCGGAGCCGGCGAAGTCGATGACGCCCGACTTGAACAGCAACGGACCCGTCAACCGGCCGGCCGAAGCCCACCCGTCGGTGGACCAGAACCAGTGCGACACCACCGGGTACACGAACCCGGTGAGGAAGGCGGAGTAGATGAGATACGCGCTGAAGCGCGTCCGCTCGGCGATGGAACCGGACGTGATGCCGGCGGCGGCGATGGCGAAGGCCCACTGGAAGAGGAAGAAGTCGTAGTCGTACCCTGTCTGCGGCATGTGCTTCAGCCCGAAGAACTGCTTCCCGATGAAGCCCTTGGACGGCGTCCCGAACGCGAAGGCGAAGCCGAAGAGGTAGTAGAAGAGCGCGCCGGCGGCGGCGTCGAGCACGTTGGTGAGCATGATGTTCATGGAGTTCTTGGCGCGGACGGAGCCCGCGCAGAGCATGGCGAACCCGAGCTGCATGGCGAACACGAGGTAGGCCGAGAAGAGCAGGTACGTCGCGTCCACCGCGGAGGAGGTGTCCGTGAACCTGTTGCAGATGTAGTTGGCCGCGTCGGTGGAGTTCGCCGCGCCGCCGAGCAGCGGCCCGAGGCTGTCCAAGCACGTCGCCATGGTGTGTCTCACTAGCCAAGTGTGGCAAGGTTTTGTGCTGCTTCTTGCTAGGGTTTAGGAACTAATGGAGGTTTTGGTGTGTGATTCTTTGAAGTAGACGAGAGAATGAGATGCTGGACTATTTATAGGGGCAGAACACATTGGAATCCATGGTTGATGGTTGTTTTTAATTGGATGATTCGTGATCACAGACAGCGGGAAATGCAAAACCGAGGTGCGCGTGGATGCATGTATACTGTTTTGGATTCCTTCTAACATGGGAGTGGATTCTAATACCTCAAGGGGATATCCCCTCGTATACCTTTTTCTTCCAAATTCGATGTAAATAGCTATGGAAAAAATCTGAAAAAAATTAACAATGTAGAGTATAATGATACCTACTAGTCCACCAAAATTCATATTCAAATTCGATCTACACATCGAGAAACAAAAAAGACAAATTTAGATATAAACAGTACGCTACTATTCATACGCTGAATTTGTCTTTTTTATATCTCGAAGTGTGAGTTGATTTTGGACTTAAGATTTTGTGAAGTTGTATATATGTGTTGTATGAATGTTGTCAATTTTTTTCAGAATTTTTCATAACCGTTTAGATGGTTTTTGAGTAAACGAGGGAACATCCCCTCGAGGGATTAGAATAGTTTCCCTTCTAACATCACATATACTAGTGCCTGAAAACCTTTTTTTTTCTTTTTTGCCAACTGCAATGAGTTGATTAATTTTTTTAGTGGCAGCAACCAATCTTTTCATCCAACAGGTGTGATGAGTAAAAGAACGAGCAGTTCACCTCTATTAATGAATGATTGAATATTACTGAGATAATTTTATCATCCTTAAGAATACATTGCAGATACCATTTTTTAATGTAAAATTTGGCACATACAATTACTTTTTTTTAGTGAATTAAATTTCTCTTGAAATAAAGGTACGCTGCAATTTTATTTTTTTGTTTTGAAATTTCACAAAACAAGATTTTTAACTGATCTTGATATCATATTTAGTTTCATGTATAGGTTGGTTCATTCATAAATTTAAGTTCATTGAGAAAGACATGTGATTCACTTATCTTCAAAAATTGTCAGTGATGATTTAATTTGTTACCTAGACGTCTCGGCGCTGGTGTTGTAAGACTGTTAAAATTATCCCAATAGGTTTACACTGGTTTTGCGACAGTGATATTTGTTTTGTTTTTACTTAAGTATTGTCTTGACTTTTGATGATGAGCGACTCAACTAGCCTGAGTTCCCGCTTTGCTCAGAAAGTTTCAGACATCAGTAATTTATGCTGGGTTGGGAGTATCCGACAGATCCAAGCAAGGTCGCATACGCAAGATGCCAGATTCAACTAAGATCCAATGTCACTATCAGAAAGTCGTGTTGTTGCCATCACAGCTAAGATTCTTTTATGCATTCAACATTTTTTAAAGGAAGATTCAGAAATGTTCTTGTTATTATATCGTCTGAAGAATCGCATTTTGTCAACTTCAAGTATTACAGGTTTTAATCTGGTATCTCCTCGCATCCTTGCACGAGGTAGTTGCTTGTCGTCACGTCCGACTATACGCATACTGTTGTGTCATGAAGTTGCATATATACAACCATATACTTGTATGCGTAATATCCATTGACTTTGTTGATTAACTGTTTAAGTTCTTCAGGCATGCATGTAAACCCAGCAGCGGATAGGTCGTACCTAGCAGAACATGGCGACAAAACTCATCAATCGAGATGGTATATGATGTGTGCAATGCGTACTTAGCGAACGATTAGATATTCGATAAGGTTATTGGCACAAACGGAGATAAACCCATTTGCTTCCATACCATACCGGCGGCTTCTGTCTTGGAAGAACCTTGTGATTAATTTGCCTCCCTGAAGAACTCGTGTCTGACTGAAACCATGTAATCAACAGGTAGTCCATGCTAAACCTGCTTGCTGACTACTGAGTACTCTGTAATTGTCAATCAGATCTCTGTGTTGGTCTGGCTACATTAACCTGTACGATATTTTCACTGAAACTATATGTTTTAACTCACTGCAAATTTATGTTGTTTGTCTTCAGAAATGAGGGTGTCAACATAGATTAACCATGTATTCTTACTTCTTGGCATAGCAGTAGGTAATTTCTTCCAGTAGAATAAATTCAGATGATGAAGCAATTCCTTAGGTCAAAACTCTGACAAGACTGGATAAGATGTGGTGGATAGGGACGCAATTGCTTCTTCCTTGCAAGTATGACTTGCAGATGCTGCGTATCTAATTTTTACACTCTGGAGATAGATCACGCTGATGCGATTAAATACCTATTGTTTTATACTTTTGTCGTGCCTGCTACCACACCTGTATGCATATCAGAAGGTTGACCTTCAGAAGTTCAGAGAATGGACGGATCTCTAGTAAACGAATCGCCATTGGACGGAAACGAGTGTTTCTTATTAGCAAATTGCAAACCGGGTGTCCTCAGCGAGACGTTGATGTCTAGTGACAAATAGTTTTCACGGATGAGATAAACTAGTCTTCTCGGCTCCAGGGATCAAATGTCAATAAACGCCACCGTAAAAGATTTTTTTTCTCTTCTTACCCAAATGCTACTCTTGACTTATTGATAAACCAATGTACAGAAATTGTACTGCTCGTTAAGTTTATGAGATATACTAGTCACGGTTTCTGCCTTCTGCCGCAGCTGATTTGGGGATCTCTCTACGTTACTGTTGTATGTGTATTTCAGTCACCCCTGAACTTATCTGAAGCTTTGTAATGCTTTTCTGAAACTTTTCACGGGCTTTGTAATTGATGGAGGCCCAATTTCAGGCCCATTTGAACTGCACTTATCTTTGGTCTTGGCGTCTTGCTCACAGCTGGGCCACATCTGTTCATATGTAGTATATTTTTTCCACCTCGGATATCTGCAGCGCGCGCGAGAGAGGAACAGAGCAACTCGCCAACAAGCCGATGACGACAACGCAAAGCAGCCTCTGTTCGCATCGGCGATGACGCGAAGCCACAAACCGCGAACGCGACCGATGCATCGCCGGATGCGGCCGCGCGCGCGAGCCGAGGGCCCAACGCTTACGTCCACCCGCGCGCACGGAGTCGTGGCCGTGGTCACTCCACCACAGCTGCACGGCTGGGCGGTTGGCCGGTTGCGCAGCAGCTGGTTAAAATTGGCTGCACGGCGGCATCATTCAAGGCGTTGGAGTACGTAGACAAACAGGTTCCCGGTCAAGATCCGGTAGCTGAGTGGAGCTCCCTGGTCAGGTGTACAATCTTGTGCGGCTATCCTAAACAGCGAGATAACTTTGGATGATGTCAAACATAATACTGACATTGAACAAAACAGCTGGCTACAAAAAAAAACACCTTAATTGGCTAGACATGGTAATTTAACCCTGCGCATCAAAGCAAAGAACCATGGCAACTACTACTCCACAGTCCACACATGTCTCAGGCAGAGGCAGGCGACGACAAAGAGTACAGCAGCGTATTCAAGCTGGGAAGCGACAGCCGACAGGCAAGGGTGCTGCGAAGAAACAGTAGCTCCTGCAAACCGTGAGGACCGGGGTAATGCAGGGTCTGCGGGTGGCACAAAAGCTACCAGCAGCACGAATGCGCTGGGAACGGGGAGGGCACCACAGCACCATTCGTGCTCAGCCTCAGCAGCAGCAGCACAACTCGCAACGATATCCACACAAACAGAGTGCCCGGCCAAAACCACAGAAAAATCAGGGGAAAAAAAATCTCATGCTGATCCAGTGATCCTCCTGCCGGCCGGCTGCCAGAGATGAGAGATGCAAGGTATGGTATTCATCCATTCGTCAGTCAAAAGGCACTCACTGAATGTGAGTGAATGCACACCGAGAGAGAGAGAGAGAGAGAGAGGCATGAACAGCCACAGGACGAGTCAAAGTAAAGCAAGCAACTTCACTCGCTCACATGCTGCAACAACCACACTTTCGGTGGCTTAAGTGAATAATAGTAGGCCGGACCACCTGCTTCTAGGGCAGCAAGACGCCCGGGCGGCCGGCCATGGCTGCCTGATCACAGGTTCAGAAACCACCACTGCCACACGCACACACACACGCAGCTGCTAGCTAGAGTCGCCGACCGACCCATCCATGGCTAGTTGCCATGGACCATGCGTCCAACGAACCATCAATTCCGAGCTCTCAACCTAGTGCTCGATCCACTAGCTCGGGGGAACCAAATAGCTGCTACTACCATCCAAGGATTCGGTATATTCTCTTTTGTACCATACCCCCATTTTCCCTCCTGCCTGAATGAAACGGATTGTGTGGCTAGTAAGGCTGTGTTTAGTTTACGCTAAAATTGAAAGTTTGGTTGAAATTGAAACGATATAATGAAAAAGTTGGAAGTTTATGTCTATAGGGGAGTTTTGATATGATAGAAAAATTTGAAGTTTGAAGAAATATTTTAAAACTAAACACGGCGTAAATAGTGTTGCTATCGGTGCGAGTAAAGACGCTGCAGATAGCGACTGACAGGCAAATCAATGAATTGGCCATTTTTCATGCATCACCATCTCATAATTTTATTTCGTGTGATCCAATCCACTTATCACTCACTGATCTATGTGCAATGAACTAAGTCCAGAAAATATCTGGGTAGCTGCACTTTGGTTTGTTTGATTTGTACCTAACTTCTAATTCATCCATTGGAACAATTATAATGTTTTTAAGCAGCGATAACTGTGCGATAGACTTATGGTTACATGACTCCAACTTATAGAATCTAAATCCTACTCCCTCTGTCCTATTAAAAACGAATCTAGAACCGGATGTAACATACATATGTCCAGATTCATAATAATAACTAGGATGTGTCACATCCGGTACTAGATTAGTTTTAATGTAACGGAGGGAGTTGGACGACATACTCACATATTAGTTCATTTTCAATGAAAATTTAGTGGGACCAAGTAATTGTTGTTAGTTACTCCCTCCCTCCCAAAAAAACCAAACTACTCCCTCCGTCCCAAAAAAAGACAAACCCTGGTTTCCGTGTCCAACGTTTGACCGTCCGTCTTATTTGAAAAAATTATGAAAAAAAATTAAAAAGACAAGTCACACATAAAATATTAATCATATTTTTATCATCTAACAACAATGAAAATACGAATTATAAAAAAAATTTATATAAGACGGACAGTTAAAGTTGGACACGGAAACCTAGGGTTTGTCTTTTTTTTGGGACGGAGGGAGTAGTACTGAATGTGATATATTTGTCCAGATTCGTTGTACTATAATATGTCACATCCAGTTTTAGATTCATTTTTTTGTGGGACATAGTGAGTATGTCTCTTTATGCTTGTGTTATGGACGCACTAGCTTGTGTATATGTGCGTTCCAAGTAATCGAAGAAAACAATTTTGAATACTTTTGATTCCTCTTAATTGGAATCTCACCAATTTTTAAGTACCATCATAAAATGACACTTCCGCTCTAAAGTTATGACGGCATTATATTTTAAGCATTGGCCCAAAATACACCAAATGACTAACCATGTGCACTGAAAAAGGTGTCATATTAACATTATAATGCTGTGAAATATCTCCTGAGGCACTTAGCCCCATTACTCATTTTTAAATAAAATAATTCAAATCTTTAAGCTGATGTTGAAATAGTTTGGCTATGTTTGGCTTTTTTGGAGACTCAAGGTGTGATTGGTTAGGGATGGTAAAACTTTACATAGTAAAAACATTATTGCATATTTTAGATTTTGTTTTCAAAAAGAAAATAGTTCATATTGCATCAGGGAAATTTGGCAACCAATGAAAACAACCAATTCCTTCAAAACAGGCTAGAGTATCGCGTCTATAGCTTTGAGATTTTGTATTTTATTCAATATAGAAATTTGGTTGCACCAAGAAAATTATAATAAAAAACAACCAAAGTATTAATATTTTTTATTTTATACTTTAAAGATTTTGGTTCAAAAGAATAGCGGAAAACCCTGATGGAAAGCTCAAAGCGAAGTCCCGCTAATATCGAGTATTCGAGTCTCACTTCTTTATTATTCTGAAAAACCTATTATCCACACCACTATAATTGACATGGCATAATTAACCATGTAACAACGCTTTTATGTTGATATACTGAAATGCCATAATCCTTGTCGCACCAATTTTTTTCACGGCGTAAAAGTATTATCTTACGGTACCATTTATAGTTGTGTTGTTGTAAATGTTCCCAATCGTACATAACGTGTAGAAGGGTTTATTTCAAAATTTGTTTAGAATAACGTTCAGAAAATAAAATTTTCCACTGCCTTCGCCCGAGAGCAGGAAAATCAAATGCACCTACAAAGAGAAACGGCGCAGGAAATGAAAACAAAAGACAATTAATGGAGTCTAGTGGCGCCGGTCAAAGAGAGCATTCAAAGTGGATTGCACTCGGAGGAATAAACAAGAATACTTTGAACAGCCCCTGCATTGACCGGTTTTTGGGGCTCCTGAATAACCACTAGCCTCTCAGGGGCTAGATGCCCCTGCCCCCTCGCACACCATTTTTTTTTTACACGCAGAGAAGAAGAGACATTATCACATTAGGCACGGGCTTAATTATCTAGCAACAAATTAGCTACAGAATGAGGCTAAGCGCAGTCACCGAACTAATCAGGAAGCGAATTAGTCACCGAATTCGGCGAGGGAGAGAGATCGATCGACGACGAGACAGACGTCAAGATGAATCGAACTTGTAGTACTTGTCGACGGCGGCGAGGACGTCCCAGGTGCAGCTTAGCCCCTTGGGGAAGACGACGAGGTCGCCGGCGCCGAACTCCACGCACTCCGACGAGCCCTTGATGTGCGCCCTCACCTTCCCCTTCACCAGGTAGCACGTCTCCCGCGCGTCGAACTTCACCGGGAACTTCCCCGTCGGGCAACCCCACCTGCGCACGCACGCACCCGCCCACGCGCTCAATTAAACACGTACGCCATGAAGGAGCAGGAAATGGACAGCGATCGATCGGCACTGTGGCGACTCACTTGGGCCAGGACTTGACGCCTAGCTGGAGCAGGCGCGACTCCGGCGGGTTGCGCTCCACGGCGATGGAGAGGGTGCCGCCGCCGCCGGGAGGGTCCGTGTCCATGGTGTCCGGGTTTGAGCTCGAGGCCATGAGCTCGCGCGCGAGGTCGAGGAGGAGAGGAGGGAGACCGGGAGAGGGTGAGCAGTAGCTTGCAGTTAGGAGTAGGAGGAATGAGTTAAGGAGGGTTGTGTCAGTTTGGGAGGTGAGATGATGAGTTCTTCTACTTCTAGTTCTCGCGAGGGGGGAAGGCTCCAAGAGAGGGCAGTTGGACTGATGGCTTTCCTGTATCAAAACAAGGGCAAGAGGAATCTCCTTCCTTCATGTTTTTAATATATACAAGTGTGTGCAATAATATTATATTATTTTTACCCAGCATGTGTATATCATTTGGGACAAGTCAATATTATACATATTTTTTTCTGAATGGAAACAAGTCAATTTTATCCTCTTCCTATGAGGCCAAAATAGCTCTATGTTGCTTACTATCTCTGCTCTAAAATATACTATATCCGTTTTAAAATATAAGTATTTTTAGTGATAAATCTGAAGATGTAGTTATCCAAATTCATACTCTCTTTATCCCAAAATATAAGAACCAATGATTGGATCTAATATTTCGTGGTACTACGAATCTGGACAGGCTGTCCAAATTCATCCTATCCAAATTAATAGTCCTAAAGAATATCTCATTCAATCCTAACTTCTTATATTTTGAGACGGATGTAATAACTAAAAGTTTTTATATTTTGGGATGGAAGTAGTAAAATATTTTGCCTATGTTATTAGATGGACAAAATCCCTTATATTTTAGAAAGGCGATATTACCTTTTATGAGAGAATTTTCTCTTATTTGTACTCTTCATCTAAAATATAAGTATTTTTAGATATGTGTAGAGATACATAGCCAGAAATATTTATATTCTAAACCGGAGGGAGTAGTAGTATTTTGATATTTGTATCAAAATTAGCATTAAACACATATCCATGACACGAACATATACTTTGGTTTTTTTTTAATAAAACTTGTTTGGAAATGAGATATATTATGTTTTTCTAACATTTTTTGTGCCTGCTTGATTGCTCCCGTACAACTGTTTGCTACATGAAACAGCAATGCCATGGCTTGCTGTTGCAGACTAATAAGCTGCGGTCAGACAGCCAAGAGCCATGGTGCATTAACTTTGTGCAAATAAGATAGTGAAAAATTAAGTTATTTTGGAACCAAGGGAATATTATTGAAAAGGAAATATTCACACAACAACTTATGTATCCACAACATTTACCTATTGTTGTTTTAAGGCCCAACCCTACTTGTCAATGTGATAGCAAACATAAGTGTATTCTATACTCCTATATTGGTAATACTTATCAAATTTGATTTTTTCACAAACATGTGGCTTTTGACTCTTTAAGTTTTAAGTTTAGAGATATAAATGCGAACCACTCTGAATGTATAACTTTTGTTAGGTACATTACAATGTAAAATGACACTTTTATGTTGCATAATTAGATATTTTAAATGCTTTACGTTATTATTAAAAGTTGATCAGTCAATAAGAGGAGTAATGCGACATCTTATCTACCTGTTCTATCCTTGTCCTATCTAATCTTTTTCTCTTTACGTAAAACTATGTACCTCTTTGAACTTGTGGCTCTAACCACCTCCAAACCATTCAGTTCTTAAACGAATTGGCGAGCCGCCAAATTCAATAAATAGAGCAGAAAATATTGAACAAGGTAAAAAGAAAATAAAAACTATGTACAACTATTCCTGGTTGCCCGGGCTAACGACTAAGGTAGCCATTGAACTTGGTCCTTAACCATTTAGTTGGATAAAGTTGAATTTGATTCCTAACACATTCTATTATGCAACCGGTCTAGCAATAATATATTGTGGCAATCAGTCTAGCAAGTATCGTTGTTTGACCGATGAAACTTTAGACATTATTTCGTCGATCAATCATTGCATATACTACATTACCCCTAGCAACTTAGTACAATATATTTATATCTATTGAAAATTTGGTTGTGGGGCGGATAACAAGTGGTCAATTCTCATGGAGGCCACACCGTTCATCGCACATGAAAAGAAAAACCGTCGTCATATGAAACACATGCTTAGACAGCTTAGTGAACATTACATAAATAAACAGAGACATACAGTATCAGAGATAATTGTTGAGCTCGGGGGGCAAAGAAACAACTCTCAGCCGGCTGCAAACTTGAAAGCAACCTCCACCGAATTTGTCACGAGAAGAACGAGACCCACCGACCACACACCACACAATCACACACCACGCCACCACCGGAGAAGCGGTCAAAACAGCTAGAGCTCGCGATCAACCGCGAGCCGCGCGACGACGAAGGGGTTAAAACCCCGCCGTCCCTATCCGCTTCGCTGACGTGGCGCCTCGGGCGGGGCCCACCATACGACCAGGCCATTGACCGCCAGCCCCCGCCGGCCCGGGATCCCGTGCGGCGACAGGCCACATGGCCTCCTTCCTTCCTTCCCCCCGCCCGTGCGGGCGGGACACGTGCGGCGGACGGGACCGCGAGATGCGATCGGACGGCTGGCTTGGCTGGCGCGGCAGCGGGGCCCTCTGCCGGGCGAACTGGCCTATGCGCCGATGGACGGTGGCGATGCGACGGCTTCGATGGATGAGGGGATGATACACCCATCCTTTTCCCCTGTTCGTACGCCGTGCTCCCCGAAACATGTGGGGCCAGTGGGCGCGCGACGCGTGGCCGGCGCCGGCGCAGCTGCCGGAGGGCGCGGATCGTTTGTGCTTTTCTCGCGGCGGCAGCGTGACACAAGACGACAGAGAGTCAAACAGGGCGTGGATCGCGCTTCAGCTTTGAGTTTGCAAATGAAATCGTAGAATCTGGTATGATTCGGTACAATACGACGGAATTCGAGTTAAAACAACGAAACACGAAATGCCCGCTTTTTGTAACAAACTGTTGGTCGGGTTTAGGAGGGGCCTAATCAGGAAAATTGCAGGGTCCATTACAACAAGCCAACAATACGCCAGATAATGGCCTACCCGCGGCACCATGGCAGTTCTCCCCTCTGAAGAGAAACTGGTTGAACAACCAATTCTTTATTACAGTATCTTTTGTCAACATGCTGTTCAACCAATTCTTTATTACAGTATCTTTTGTCAACATGCTAATGCAATGCTACATTAGGGTGTGTTTAGTTCCTGAAAAAAATTGGAAGTTCGAAGAAAGTTGGGAGTTCAGAAAAAAAAAGTTGAAAGTTTATGTGTAGAAAATTTTTTGATGTAATATAATATGATGGAAAGTTGATAATAGGGGGAAAACTAAACACGGCCTTAGTATCTGGATTCCAAATCTTTCAGGTAAAATTGTTTGTTCACACAGTTGAGGGAGTCAGCTACTAGGTTGTAGCAGTAAGAAACAAGCAATCCCGCAGAAGTGAAGAATCGCGTCACAGAACTCAGAAGCTAAGTGGTAACAGAAACATAGCACGGATCAAACTTCAAGTTTCAAGCAGGTACTGTCAATTAGACGCTACAGTGACGTTTTGGTTGAAACTTGAAAGATTTCCAGCATTGCAAGTTCACAAAACAACAGATCAGCGGCAAAGCTGGAGCCAAGAACGAGGACCAGCTGCTGGCGGATAAACAGTTCACGCAAGTGGTAGATCTCGGAAACAAGAAATGGAATGATACCACAACTTGACGTTTCTCCCTTGGTAGCAGTCTAACAATCAATCAGGCAACCAGCAGTCAAATGCAGCAGCCAAGTGAACGTGAAAACAGTCTCGTCTTTCATTTTCACCTCGTCTAGCCAAATATCAGAGGACGGAATATCTGAAAATTTATTTTCACCACTTTTCTGGATGACAAATTCAACTGATGGACAAATCAGAAATAATATTCAATAGCACATTCAATGTGATAATCACTTTTTCGCGGGGCCAATAGGATAATCAATATAGATAAATTCTAAATTGCAGATCTTGTTGACATTGTTTCAGTCAGTTAGAAGCAAAGACATGCAATCTCATATGGAAACAATCATTGCTTGAACACTCTCGCTTCAGAACTCTAGATGGCATAGCCTCATGGTAAACAAAATGAGGGCTGTTTTTAGGCTACTTGCAAGTTAGAACTAATTTCAAGAGAAATTGATCAAATCTACCATAGGATCCCCAAACTTTTTTTTGTTGTGAAGTGGAGATAGCCACTACCAGTACTACCAAACAGTTTGTCAAATCTATTAAATTGGCATCAAATCATCCCCAACTGTAGCACAATTCAACCCAATAGCAGTTTGGTACTCTTGAAAGCATTTAATATTACTAATCAACAATCAGAAGCAGCTTGTTGACTCATGAACGCACTTTACACCCAACATCAACACCTTCTAGCTAGAACTAGCAATGTGACATGAGGCTGGTCCTTTCCCGACTGACTCCAACTAGTGCTCATGGGTTACAAACATAAAAGTATTTCCTCTGCAATTTCAGACAGAAATTTGCGTGGTAGAGACTTTTATTTAGGTTAATTCGCCGTGCTAATGGAGTTTCCACTGCAACGCCACTACTGATTGGATGAGGCTGCTAATTATCCCATTGCAACAGTACGTCTGGACCCTCCAGATATTCCTGTTGTGGAAAACTCTAGCAGGAAAAATCGAAGCCAATCGATCAATGTGACATCGACGTTACACCCACCTGCTTCCAACATCGCGCACATTGAAGCCAACATATATAAACAAAAATCTATCTTGTGAATCAAAGTACTACGAGAATTTAAGAAAACCTCGCAGAGATTGGTACCAATCAAGAGCCAAAAGCACTAACCAAGCAACCAACAATGCAGGCAAGGCATAGAGATTCAAAAACATCGGCAGCAAAAGGTACCCAGATTGATCTCACGACGTCTCGAGATACATGAAAAGAAATCTAACCGACGAACTAACTAGAAGAATCCATCACCATAGAGACAGATCAGCCTCTCAAACTTCCAGGAGAGCCCCCCACAAGAGCACCGGCCCCCACACGTTACCGTAAGCGCCTCAGGCGAGGTCGGTGTCGTCGAAGTCGGCGCCGTCGAAGGAGTTGTAGAAGCCGGCGAAGGGGAGGGGCCCGCGGGCCTCGTTGGCGCGGGCCGCGCGGTGGCCGGGGAAGACCTCCGCGTCCTCCTCGTCGTCGAGGAAGACGGCGCCGGCGCCGCTGCTGCGGGGGGAGTCGTCGATGTCCATCAGCGCCGTGATGGCGTCGTCGTCCATGTCGTCGTCGGCGGCGGAGGCGGCGGGATGGCTAGGGTTTTTGCGGGACCACTGCGGGGAAGGAAGGGGAGGAGCGGGGTGGCGAGGGCGGAGAGGGGGAGGAGGGCCCGGTGGTGGGGCGCGCCCGCTGCGGTGCCTTGGATGGGGGCGACGCGTCGTCCTCGACTCCATATAAAGTTGTGCTTGTGCCCCCCGAGTTCTGGAGATTTGTGCGTCGCCTTCGTCGTGTGCCACGAGTTTTTTTGTTTTGTTTTTAATTTTATTTATTTATTTTCCCTTTTCTTTTTAGAGTGACGGCATCAATGAGCCCCTTTGCCTTCCGATCTCTGGGCCTATTTGGGCTGGCCGCGTCGCTAGGCCCTCTCCCCTGTTCTACATGATGCTATTTGTGAATTCTTCTTTTTTTTCATACGGATTTGCTCGACATTGTTAAAAGGTAATTCATCTCATCACCTGCCAAATTTTATTTGGAATGAATACCGTCTTCCTTTTCTCGTTGCGTTTTGTGATTGTCTCGTGTGCGTTTGGGCCTTTGGGGATGTGTTCAGGCCTTTTATGTGAACCATACCAAAATTCGGTCGCACTGAGAACCAGTACGTGAACAATACGATAGTGGTTCTATCCGGCCATCCGGAGAAATAACCACGTATAAACCAATTATGGAAAGCCCATGTACTTTACGTTTACGTACAAATTGTTCGGAAGGAATCGCAGTTCAGGATTACATTGAAGATCTGCATTGGCGGTACTCAGTTAGCAAGAGTCCAAACATATAACCAGCTTATCCCGTGCTACGAAGGATAGCACATAGCAGGCGTCCTGTTATCGCACAGGTCGCATAAAAGTGGGAGCTACTAATACTTCTTTAAGACATTCACAACATCTTGACTGTCTTCTGTTCTGGCAGTGAAACCTGCGAGGCAAGGTGCTAAGGTAGTGAGTAAAGATTACGGCAAACGAGCAAATGCACGCACAGGAAATGTGGCGAGATAGAGGGGAAAATGGATTACCTGATGCTAACCGCTTGTGGTGTCCATTGACGTTCCAATCAATTTGATCGTCAATGTTCTCAACAATCTTCCTTTTCATACCTTCCAGTTTCCGCTGAAATAGTGGTATTACGTTCACAAGATCTGCAGGTATAGCACAGTTAGTCAGGCATGTTCTGAACCAGAGTTAACCAGGCTGCCCAAAAATCATACTTATGAAGAATTTACTCCTTTGTAGTTAGTATCGAGATCCTATAAACAACATTGAACTGTATTTGTACGTGACATAAACAAATTAACAAAAGCAGATTAAGAAATGTCATAGAATTTGGGCGGCGGGCAAGAATATTTTGCTTTCTGAAACTCAAAATTGTTGATGCCAGTGGCTGAAGCTTACTAGTTTTTTAACCATGCGAAGTAACCCATAACCAATATGCACCATACGTTACAATTACTAACAATCTGCCATGTAGCATGTCAATTGTCAAACAAGGTGACAAGGAAGGATATAACATCAGCATCATCACAATTACTCAAATTATGTCAACAATAATTACCCAACCATAAGTGAACAGGTTGGAGTTCTGATCACTTGAAAAATTCAAAATTGTAAGCCTTATTTCATGGAAAGGCATTGGCCTAAATAAAATAAAAGTCTTTTAATGCCAGCAATATCGAAGTGAAACTGCAGCTTAAGCATGCCAAATAACTATTTGTGAAAAACAAAAGCAGCGTGAAACTTAATTGATGTTTAATCATAATCAAATGGCGTGGATTTCTCTTCCTCCTGTTGTACACAACTACTGAATCTAATGTCATACCTTGAAAATTGTCTTGAAAGGCCTTGCTTTCAAACACCTTCAATAATTCAGCCATAGAGGAATCCAAATTTCTCTGGCACTCAGCTTGTCTTTCTAAGGAAGAAAGCTCTTTTTGAAGTTCTTCAGATTCATTGTTAGCCTGATGAAACAACATGTGTTTGTCATATAAATGCAGATATAGAGAAGCTAATTCATTTAAGTAAGCTGCTTACATCTTCAAGTTTTTTCCTAAGAGAAACAAGTTCAGCATCGAGATCCGAATCAGAATTCCCATCATTGAGTGATTTTTTTGCAGGAATATCCTGATGAAGAAAACAACTCATGTTTAACCATCTTCATGACACCATTTTTTGAAATAGAACATTGAAGTAAACATAAAAGTAAAGCAAGGTTTCAGGAAACAGAATTGTATGTTCTGCTTCATCATAAGAACATATGAAAATGAAGACTGTACAACTTTGACACAATATGAATTCCAAAAGAAACATGATGTAGTATAATTAAATATCTTGACTTCACTAAATCAATCACTTCAACCTCACAAAAAAATTAAATAAACCAATCACTTCAATATGAGGAACATACATCTTCACGTGTCAGGAATCCTTCAGGTATTGCGAAACAATGTCGAAGGCAGTATTTCTCCCAATTGCTCATTCTCTTATCCAATACATCCTTCACCAAGTTGTGAATGCTGATTACACCCTAAAAAGAAAATCATAAGAAGAACTATACTTTTCAGAACGTTCAAGCTGGACTGGTCTATTGGGGGAAACATGTGCCAATTGACAAACATATGAACGATATGCAATAGCTTCCAGAATAAAATATACTAAAAACATTACTGCACCATGATAAAACAAAGCAATTGTTATTAAATATGATACATGATAACTCATAGGGCTACTAAATCATTAGAAGTGTTAAAGTAATGTAATGCTTCCAAGGAGAGCTAGCCTGATAGGTCCATAGTTGCTTTTGACCACAATAAGTGGTATCTTTTTTTTAAAACAAAATGAACAATATCCATTCCATAGTTCTGAAACCAAATGAACAATATCCATTCTATAGCAAAAATATGAAAACAGAGAAGCTAACAATCGAAAGAATTGTTATCTGGAACCATGCTTTGCTTTGGTATTTTTCTAGCTGTTTCAATATTTACACTCAGTAATCCATTTGTGTTTTAATTTTTCTTTTTAGAAGATAAATCATTGATTGACCCAGCTTTACAAGAAAGCCACACTTAGTAATTCATTTGGTTTTAAATTTATGCGTAGAAAGTTTCCGCACAAGTTTGTTTATCAAGCATATATGCAAATAGAAACATATGTGTTTTATAGGCCATTGCAAAGTGGTACTGATGGTCTGATACTACACACTGTGCAGCACGGAAAAGTCATCTGAATTGAAAAAAGAAGGACGGCACGTCACATCCTGTACAAAAGGGGCTACAAAACAAGTAATCATAGTTCTGCAGCTGAACTGCTGAAAGGCACATCCACATAGCCGCATAAATTCCTTTGATATAGGATCCAATAGCCAGCTTGAGCCTTGAAATGAACCAAAATTGATCAATGTCTACTAGTCATAACCGCTGGCTGACCCCGATAAATTGGTGAACGCTGAGTCTGAGAGTGCTAAGGCTGATAAATTGGTGAACATCACGAGCGCTAAGGCAGGTGAAGCTACCCTAAGACTACGATCAAGCATTGTTAAGAACCCGACGCACAAAGATGGAATTCGTCTAAAAACACAACCACACCATACAAGACACCTTCTATCGAATCGTGGAATGGGAAATCGCGTTCCAGAACCGGATTATTTTTTTAAAGGGAAAAAAACTGAGGGGGCCGGCACGCTTCATGAAATCCAGTGGTTGGGGGGGGAACTTACCCGCTCCAGCTCCTCGGCCTTCTGGGTCGCCATGGCGGCGCCGACGGCCTCGGGGGCGCCTTCCCTGGAGAAGAGAGAAGAACAGCAAGAGGGCAAGTTAACGAACAACCGAGCAGCGAAAGAGGGGGCGAGCGAGAAAGGGGGGGAGGAGAAGTAGAGAGGGTTCGGTAGCCTTACTGGAGGCAGTACTCGAAGGCCCCGTAGCGGACGTCGTCGACCGCGTTGAGGACCGAGTTGACGAAGAACGAGGCGCTCAGCCCCAGCGCCGCCTCCACGGCGGTCTCGTCGCTCTCCTCCATGCCTGGTATGAGGGGGTCCTGAGTGGTGGTGGTGTGGGTCGGCGGACGGCGAGGGGAGCGGCGGCGGGGGGTTGGGCTTGGGCACCCGCGGTCGCCGCCGACGACGGGTGGGGGGAATTCGAAATTTTCCGCGGCCACTTTTTGGGAGGAAAGGAAACAGATGCGCCTCTCTCTTTTTTCCAGAGCCCGAGCTGCACGACGCCACTGTTCGGCGGCCGCAGGTGGGCTTAATCCATGTGTATATGGGCCTAGTTCGACGTCAGTTGTGGGACTAAAGCCTTATTACGCATCGGAAGTTCAGAAATGGAAAAAGTACACCCAAGGTCTCTCAACTTGTTATCGAGATACAAAATCGTCCTCAAACCGCAAAACCAGATATTCCGCGTCCCATAACTAATCAAAACCGGTCACAAAAGGTCCCTCGGCAGTTTTGACCCCAGTTTTATCCTACGTGGCTGCTGAGTTAGCGTGGGACCCACATAGGCCCCACATGTCAGCGTAATCCACGTCAGCCTCCTCTCTCTTCTCTTCCCCCGCTTCTCTCCCTTTACTCATATCTCTCTCTCACTAATCTGCAAGCTAGCCAGGGCAGCGAGAGAGGAGGAGGGCAGCACCGCAACGGCGACGGCGGTGGCCGTAGTGGGGAAGCATGGCGGAGGCGCGGGGAGGCCGGCGTCGGCGTCGCCCAGGCGGTGGCGGCGAGGCGCTGGGAGGCCGGCGTCGGTCTCGCCCAGGTGGTGGTGGCGAGGCGCGGGGAGGCCGGCGTCGGCGTCGCCCAGGCGGTGGCGGCGAGGCGCTGGGAGGCCGGCGTCGGTCTCGCCCTGACGGCGCAGCGGCCGTAGTTGGGAAGCACGGCGGAGGCGCGGGGAGGCCGGCGTCGGCGTCGCCCAGTCGGTGGCAGCAAGGCGCGGGGAGGCCGGCGTCGGCATCGCCCTGTTGGCGGCGGCCGCCGCAGTGGGGAAGCACGGCGGAAGCGCAGGGAGGCCAGCGTCGGCGTCGCCCAGGCGGTGGCGGCGAGGCGCGGGGAGGCCGGCGTCGGCAGCGCCCTGACGGCGCGGCGGCCGTAGTGAGGAAGCACGGCCACGGCGGAGGCGCGGGGAAGCCAACGTCGGCGTCACCCTGTCGGCAGCGCCCGCAGTGGGAAAGCCGCTGGTCGTAACCGGAGGTGGCGAGGGGGGAGGAGTTGTCGGCGGTGTCGGCTTTGGAGGAGGAGCGCTTGTGGTCGGGGTCGGGGACGGCGACGGCAAGGGAGCACGGGAGGCAGAGGGTGAGGATGGTGTCCTCGAAGTCGAGCCCCGATGCCACGGACGACTCCGTGGAGCTCCGCTCCGTCTCCTTCGATGCGGCGGGGAGGAGGGCCGGCGTGGCCGGCGGCTAACGAGGAACGAGCGTGGTGGAGAGGAGGGCCGTGCGGAGCCATTGTCGTGGCCGCGCTCTCCTCCGTGTCCTCACTACCACCGCTGGCGAGCCGCCCCTTATGGCATCAGCGGCCAAGACCTACCTCTGCCGCAAGCACGATCCCAACCGTGCCGTCTCCCTCTTCAAGGCCATCGACGACACCTCCCTCTCAGCCTCCCACCGAGCCGCACCTTGTCGGTGTCTTCTGCTCCTACGCCGCCGTGTCCCTCCCCGAGAAGGCTCTCGCCGCCTTCCGCTCCGCCGCGCAGAGCTCGGCCGGGGCCGTCCTCAACGACCGCCACTCCCCATTTGGCGCCGGGTGCATCGAGAAGAGAGGGAAAGAGAAGAAATAAAAGAAAAGATAAAAAATAAGAAGAAAATAATGATGTGGCATCCTGACATGTGGGACCCACGCAACTCAGCTGCCACGTCAGATAAAACCGGGGTCAAAACCACCGAGGGACCTCAAATAAACGGTTTTGGAAGTTAAAGGATCTCATATATCTGGTATTGTAGTTGAGGGATGATTTTGTAACTGGACAACAAGTTGAGGGACCTTCGGTGTACTTTATCCTTCAGAAATTTTCTAGGAAAAAGTGCACCGAAGGTCCCTCAATTTGTTATCAGGATAAAAAAATTCTCGAACCGCAGAATATACGCGGGGTCCCTTAACTATACAAAACTGATTACCCGAGGTCCTTCGGTGGTTTTGACCCCGGTTTTTGTCTACGTGGCGGCTGAGTCAGCGTGGGACCCACGTGGGCCCCACGTGTCAGCGTGCCACGTCATCTCTCTCTTTCCCCATTCTTTTTTCTTTCTTTACTCCATCCAGGCGGTGCTCCATGGAGGCCAATGGCTGGCGTCGCTAGGCGGGGCTCGTACGCGAACACCCAGAAACCAGCGCCGGCACCAGCGCCGCCGTGATGCGCGACAACACATATATGTGGGTTGTTGTGTTCGTGTATGTGAGTTGGGAACTCATTCCCTCCACACGAAAAACGGAGCGGTCTATTAGTGCGTGATTAATTAAGTATTAGCTAATTTTTTTCCAAAATTAGATTAATTTGATTTTTTTAAGCATCTTTCGTATAGAAACTTGTTGCAAAAAACACACCGTTTAGCAGTTTGAAAAGCGTGCGCGCGGAAAACGAGAAAGAAGGGTTGGGAAAAGAGGATGCCGAACACAGCTGCCACTCCTCATAGGTACACATGGCTTAGTTCACTTTGTTGTCCGAATCAATCATATCAAATTTTAGTAATTCTATTTTTTTATAAATTTTAGTGTTGACTTTGTTTTGATGCCTTCGCTAAATTTTATTTTGATAGAGTTTTTAGAGAGGAAGCTTCTGAAAATACCAAAATTTAGTAAGATAGCAATGGTTGATATGTGTCTAGTTTGTCACCTACTTTAAAAGCGGCGACAAACTGAATAGTCCCACAATTTGCCACAAACGTGGCCAATTTGTTATATTAGGTCCAACTCTTTTTTAAGAGTATCAAAGATGGATCGAGAGATACGATCCAGCTTTCTAAGAAAACGAACAGAGTAGGGTGTATTAGGCACCCCTTTTTTCAGCCCCTTCCCCTTATTTTTCACGCGCACATTTTTCAAACTGTTAAACGGTGTGTTTTTTGCAAAAAGTTTCTATACAAAAATTACTTAAAAAATCAAAATAATCCATTTTTTTAAAAATAGCTAATACTTAATTAATTATGCATTAATGGATTGCTCAGTTTTCTATGCGGGAGGGACTAGTTTCCATCCCTAAAACCAAACACAGGCTAAAACTGTCCGACACAACACTCACAACATAAACCTAAAACACGCTGCTGTGAATTTGAGCTTACATTATCAGCACCCTAACAAGCTTACCACCAAAACAACAATTCCAGAACCCAGCTATTGCGTGTTTTCAACTCAGGTTATGTTCGGTAGGAGGGGTTGCAACATTACTGTGGCTACAACTACAGCCAGACATGACACAAACAACTGATGTTGGCTTACAGTTGCAGCCACATAGCTACAGTAAAAAAGAGCAGCTGAACATACTCTACATGTCTAATGAAAGAACATCTATTGATCCAAATTTCTTCATCTTTCAGATTTAATCTTCAGTTAGCTTTTATCCAACTTGCTTGCACCTTATCCCTTTTTCAAACCCTTTCACTTTTGTAAGAGAGAGATCATTTTATATACCATCTGTAAAGGAGATTTCACAAGTATATATGCTTTCCAAGACATAATCATTTCTTCCAGTCCATGGACCCTACTCCCTCCGTCTCATAATATAGGAGTAGTAATCTAGAACAGACACTTTATAGTACAACGAACCTGGAAAAGAAAGCATGTTCGGATCTATTGTACTATGAAGTATGAAGTGTCACATCCTATACTAGGTTACTATATTATGGGACCGAGGGAGTAACTAATATACTCCCTCCGTATTTTAATGTATGACGCCGTTGACTTTTTGATAAACGTTTGACTTTTCGTCTTATTCAAAAAATTTATGTAATTATAATTTATTTTATTGTGACTTGATTTATCATCAAATTTTCTTTAAGCATGACATAAGTATGTTTACATTTGCACAAAAATTTTAAATAAGACGAATGGTTAAACATTAGTCAAAAAGCCAACGGCGTGAGGGAGTAGTTATCAGTCATGTGATAACAAGCTCAACCATGCATTCTTAGGGTTTCTTTGGAGCGTTCTTTTTTTAATTCCTATAGAATTATATTATTATGCCATGCATAGTCATGTAAAACTCATTTGTTTCAAAAGAGAAGCCACTGCTGGTTATAACTTCCATGTTAAAAGCACCACATGTGACAAAGCTCCCACGAAATTGACGTGGAAACGTCAAACGTGAACTCCAGCAAATTAGTGAAAAACCCTTTTCTCCACCGTCGTGCTAGTTGCTACGCTAGAGGTCAGCTCGCTCCTTGCCTCCGCTTTACCAAAAAGGGCAAAGACGAGTCCTTTTTCCGCTGCCGGGCGTGCGTGGATAAGCCGAAGCGCCTCCCCCCCGGCCCCACCCCCTCTTCTCCCCATCACCCGCGTTGTCCTATCGTCGCAGATTCACAGGACCCCAACCTTTCATGGCTTATTCGGAATATAGATAGTAAAAACGAAGAAATAGAAAAATTATAGGAATATGGTAGGATTGTATGTGTAAAACAGAGGATTGAAAAACATAAGAATTTCTTGTTCTCCGTGCGCAGGATTCTTACAACAAAGAGGCTAAAGTGGATTCTTTTTTTCCTTGTGAAAACATGGGTAGGGAATAGTATTCCTATGGAATTCAAGATAGCTAACCCTTTCAAACGAATGCATCTATAGTACCCAGTTCAAAGGAATCATCAATCCTCCATTTTTTTCTTCACATTTCCTCCATTCCGAATGAGCCCTCTTCCTGTTTCTCTCGCAAGTGGAATCTCCAGCCGTCCAGCGTTAATGTGGATAGAGATAGAGAAAGAGAGTTTAGGGCCCCTTTAAATCGTAGGAATGAAAAAACAGAGGAATAGGAAAAATACAATATTCTAGCAGGAATACACAGGAAAAAAACAGGAATGGCCGTTTGATTGGACCACAGGAAAAATGCAGGAATCAGATGAGAGAGATGGACTCAAAGTAAATGTTCCAAGAGGTTAGACCTCTTGCTAACTTTCCTCCAAAATGTGCATAGGATTGTCCATTCTATAGGAATTTTAAAGGATTGTATAGGATTCAATCCTCTGTTTCAAAGGTCTTCA